GAACCCAGGACCTTTCAGTCCGAAGACTGACGCTCTATCCACTGAGCCAAACCGGTTTCGGCGGCCTGCCAGTTTTGAAATGGAACGAGTCAGCGTCCTGCCTGGGTGTGTGGGTCCCCCACCAGGAGGTGGACACCCCTCCCCCACTTGTGCCACCCCGGCCTCTGTCTTTGCAGAACACCGACTGTGTGCTGCACCGAACACGCTCTCCTGCAGCCTTGGCGGGAGCCGGCATGTGCCCATTTCCCAGGCTTGGACACCGAGGCCAGGCCGGAGCTGGCGGCCAGGGCAGGCTGTTTGCCCGGAGCAGGCCCCTGTGCGCTCCACCTGCAGGTGCCCCCCGCCGCGGGGCGGCTGTCCTCTGCGCAGGCGCCGATTTGCATCCTGACCTCGGGGCCCACTGAGTCTGTGGGAGGGTAGGTGCGGGCTGTCCGGGTGGGAGGGGACACGGCTTCCTTTCGTCAGAGAAGGGCTTTAACCACACATTTGCAAACCTGTCGGAAAGAGTAGATGCCGACAGCCAGGCCCGGCTCCGGCGTCTGCACAGCCTTTGCTCCGTCCTGCGACACGCACTGCTCGCTCACACGAGCACGGACCCGCCCTGTCCCCACCGCAGCCCGAGAGGCAGCACTGCTGGTGGCAGCGAGGCAGGAGCCTGGCTCCGAGTCCCCACTCTAAGTCACGGCGCGGGACCTGCAGCGCCAGGGTGGCTGGCCAGACACAGAGGGAGCAGAGGCTGTGGGAGCCCGTGGTGGCCACCCCGCCTTCCCCCGGCTCTGGGATCTGGGAAGGGGACGCTGGAGCCGAGCTCTTTAGGGGCAAAGAGGCGTGAGCCAAGCCAGGAGACAGGATGGTGGCCAGCAGGCACTGCCCATGACACATCGGGCATAGTTACAGCGTCTTTCGTGTGGCAGGGACAGGGCCTGGGGTGAGGGTGGCCGGCGGAGCTGGTGAGGCGACCTGGGTGAGGAGAGGGCCCTGGTTGCAGGGTGGCGCGGCTCCCGTGGGGAGCCGAGTGGACCTGTGACGGGGTCAGTTCGCAGACTGCTGTCTAGGAATCAGGTTGGGGAGAGCCCGGAGGCAGGCAAGGCCGGGCAGCGGGGCGGGCGGAGAGGCCCAGACCAGCACAGCCTGTGCCAGGGGCTGGGGCCGCCGGGACCTGCCCCAGGTCCCAGCCACACTCTCCTCCCGCCCGGAGCTAGAGCCCAGGCCTGCCCGGCTGGAAGATTAATGGGTCCACACCCAGGGCCGGGGTCAGGCTGGGACAGTGGTGGACGCTTGGACACCCGCCAGGATTGTAACAGTGCTGCTGGCCCCTGCCCGGAACAGGAGCCGGTTTCGGGGGGCACTTTGCCCGGAACAGGAGCCGGTTTAGGGGAGCACCTTGCCCCGAACAGGAGCCGGTTTGGGGGAGCGTTCTCCGTTTTACAGAGAGGGACACGGTGCCTCCGCCAGCTCACACTGCGGGTGACAGGCTGGGTGAGGATGTTACCCAGGACGCCCCGTCTGGAGTGGCCGCAGTGGGACTCAGAGGGAGGAAGGCGGGCCCACAGGAAGGTGTGGACTCAGGCCCCGCCCGAAGCAGTTCAGTCCACGGGGGCGGCCCCACCCCACGGCTCGCCCAGGCTGGCGCTGCTCACACCTGCAGGCCTCAGCCCAGCCTGGCCCAGCTGCCCGCGGCCACGTCCCCGTCAGGCCCCTGCCCCGTAGGACTGGTGCTGCCCCGTTGGTGGCCAGAGGCTGCCGGGATTGTTGGGGCGGGTGAGGGGGTGAGGGGAGGCGAGGGATGTGGGGACAGTGGGTCAGGGTGAGGCTCCGAGACCCCGGGCCTGTGAAGTCCCCTCGAGGGCCCAGCAGGGGGGTTGAGGGGGCACCCAGCAGCCTCAGCCTGCAGCAGGGGGAGGGGGCAGTGGAGGGAGGGGACCCAAGGCCGATGCAAATGAGGCCTGGGCCTGCTTTCCCAGGGAAATGGTCATTTCCATAGACAGCAGCCCTGGGGCCTGGGCAGGCCGAACTCCGGTCACAATTCCAATGCCTCAACCACCGCTTACCCCGGACCCAGTGCGGTGCGCTCACTGCCAGCAGCCTGTGCGGGGCGCCCTCCCCGGAGCTGCCTCCCTCATCTGGGTCTGTCCTGTCTTTAACGAAGTTACATTCTTCTTCCTTTCTTTTTAAAATATGCTTTTGTTGATTTCAGCGAAAGGAAGGGGATGAGAGGCAATCATTGATCGACTGCCTCCTGCATGCCCAGCTGGGAATCGAACATGACCCCTTGGTCATAGGCGGACGCTCAGCGCTCCCCCCCTGCGCCTCACCGGCCGGCTGGAGTTTCCGTGTTTCTCCGGAGACTGGAAGCGTGTTTTGTGAGATTCATTCCGGGTCACAGCCCGTGAGGATGTATTTCTTGCCCCCTGGTCCCTGCGGGCTGCCTGGCAGGGGCGCGGTGGGTTTCTGTATGCTGATCTTGGATCTGGAACCTTGAAACGCCTGCCTTTCATGAAAAGGACCCCTTTCCTCCGGCCGGTGGGACGGTGCTCCCTTCATCACAGTCCTCTCTGTGAAGTCCAGCTCCACCCTCCTTCCTCTGGGACCACTGCCCCCTCCCCCGGGTTCTCCTCTGTCCAAACGGGCCAAGGTGCCGGGGGAGAGGGGTGAAGCGAGTCAGGGCTGGGAGTCAGGCCCTGGCTGCCTGGGCTCAGGGCCGGTCCCTTCCTGCAGTAGGCCTCCCCTCCCCCCAAAACGAGGCTAAGAAGTCAGCTCTGGCTGAAGTGGCTTCAGGCCATCCTGGTTACGTGTCGTGAACTGCGGAGGGCAGGATGCACTGCCCAGCACCCCCCTCTCCCCCCCTCCCCTCGCACTGACGAGGGGAGGCTGTACCCCCAGCCTGGGCGTTCAGATCGCTGACAGCATTGAGGGTCTTAGAAAGGTCACCGTGCCCTTCCCTGGACACGTGCGCAGGCTGGGGTCTGGGGGAGCCTGTGTCTTGGCCCCAAAGCCTTTCACACTCGCTGCAGCCCCTCCCTCCCCCGTTGGGTGCGGGTGCTGGGCCTAAGCTGCCAGCTCCCTGGGGCGGGGCTGTGCTGACAGGTGCGCTGGCATATGCCAGGCCTCGGGCCGCCGGGCCTTTGTGGCCGTGTTTACCTGATTCCCCGCCCGCCCCGCCCGCTCCCTCCCTGGGCTCCATCTGGAAGGGGCAGAACCACAAACGCCGCCCCTCTGAGAGACGCTGCGAGCAGTTCTTAAGAACCAGGGGGCCCTGTGCGCCCTCCCTCCTCAGAGGCTGTCCCCACGCCTGTCTGTGGCTCGGGCATCGCCGGGCCTGCCTTCCGGGCCGCTGTGATGACTCACCTGCCTGCACTCTCGCTCCGGACCCTGGGGGCCCGCAGCTCCCTCTGGGCTCCGGGGGCCCTGCCCGCCGTGCCTTCGCCCTCACCCTTTCACACGGGAGCAGGTGGGGCGCACTCTGTCCACACTCTGTGCTGGAGGGGGTGCTGTGCACGTGGTGCTGCAGACAGCACTGTGTGTGGGGGTGGATGTGCGGAGTTAGACCTGTTTTACAGCCTGGGACGCTATTGTGAGAAGAGAATAGGGAAAGGCAAAGGAAAGGCCCTGATGGTTAGCCTGATGGTTAGCACCCTCCCTCAGTGCTCCAGGCTCTGCTCGAGCCACTGGCAGGAGACCCCTCCCCTCTGGGTGAGAGAACGGGGTGTCACGTGGCTGAGTGGCAGAGCAGGGACTTGAACTTGGACTCTGGTTCCATCCATTCTCCTCCTCTGGACCCACAGCCGACGGTACAGCGTGGGGTACAGGATGCAGCCAGGGCACGGGTCACCCAGCGGTCACGTGATGATGTGAAGTTACCGGTGGGCTTTTGGCTGCGGGAATGGGAAGGTCAGTGGAGGGCGATTTGAACAGACCAGGTTTTTACCTTCCTGCACACAGGCGGCCAGAGGAGTGTATTTTCTGTTCCAGTGGTGCCACCAGGGAGCCAGCTCTCCCCCTGGGCTGTGCTCAGCCCGGCCGGCAGTCTCTGTGCTCAGCACCTCCATGCCCTGAGAGGCTGCTCAGCTGCAGCCTCACTCCACACTGCAGGCCGCAGGGAGGGAGAGAGCTGCCCAGTCTGCTCCCTCTCAGCCCCACGTCGGGCTTCTGAGGCGGCCGTGGCCAGGACTGGGTTACATGCCCATCCCTAGCTCAAGGCATGCTGGGAAAGGGAGAGCAGGAGTGTGGTGATGGGCTCAGATGCACAAGGATTAGGGACCACCCTGAAGAAGCTTAGTTGTCTGGGGGGGGGGGGCGGGCGGGGTATTTACTTTTTTTTTTTTTTTAATGTATTTTGATTTTTTACAGAGAGCAAGGGAGAGAGAAACATCAGCTGCCTCCTGCACCTCCCACTGGGGGTATGCCCACAACGAAGGCCTGTGCCCTTGACCAGAATCGAGCCTTCAGTCGGCAGGCTAACGCTCTACCCACTGAGCCACACCGGTTTTGGCTGAGGGGGTTACTCAGAGCCGTGCTGAGCCGTGGAGGAAGGAGGCTGTACACTGAGGAGGGATCCATGGTGAAGTTGTGTGAGTGTGACTGTGCTCAGAAACAAAGCCCGGGGCAGCGGCCGGCCCCGTGGAACCGGGACTGCCCCGACCGCTCCTCCGTCCGCTCCGGGAGCCGCCCTGCCAGGGAGCGGTGCTCGGCGGAGCCGCCTCCGTCACCGCTGCCGGACACCGGGGTCTGTGGTCTGCCAGCCGCCTCCTGGGCCGGCAGGATTCCTTTCCTTTCTCAGGAGTCATTCCCAGGCCCCTGACTTAGAGTGTGACGGAGAACAGAGAGGGGCGGTGACTTGCCCGGAGGCGCACAGCGGCCAGCGTGGGGGATTCGTGCTGGGGGCCGGGCGGGAGGCGGGCGATGGCGGCTTTGGCAGAGGAGCGGGGGCGAGGGTGGAGGCGAGGTGGCATCGTCTGGGCGTCGCTCAGCCTGTGCCTGTCTGTCGCCCCAGAGAAGACATGTCCCCGGCCCGACACCTCTCCCGGGACCTCCTCCTGTGCAGCTTCCTCCAGGAGCACGGCCTGCAGGCGGCGGACCCCGGCGAGACCAGCCTCCTCCAGCACCATCCTGAGCCGCTCGGGTAGGTCCCGGGCCCGCCCGCCCCGGCCCTGCCTCTGGGGGTGCGGTTAGAGGGCAGCCTCCGGGTTCCGGGCAGGGCTCCGGAGTGGAAATCCCCGGGTGTGGCCGTGGAGACGGTGCCCGGGCAGGGGAGCTGTGCCTGATGCCACTTCACGGAGGGCACCTGAGAGCAGCCAGGGACCTTCGGCGCCAGCCATGCCGTGACTCAAGCTGTGGCCTTAGCACGGAGCGCCTCCCGGCCCCCATGACCACCACCCCCTCATCAGGCCTCCTAAGAGCAGGCCAGGTGTGGCTCCGTGGTTGACCTTGAACCAGGAGGTCACCATTCGATTCTTGGTCAGGGCACATGCCTGGGTCCAGGCTTGATCCCCAGTGTGGGGAGTGCAGTAGACAGCCGGTCAATGATTCTCTCTCATCATGGATGTTTCTCTCTCTCTTCCCTCTCTGAAATTAAAAAAACAAAACACACACACACACACACACATATATATAAAATTAATGAAGCACAGGTAACCTGTGCTCCATCTTTTTTTTATTTTTTAAAAAAATATATTTTATTGATTTTCCACAGAGAGGAATGGAGAGGGATAGAGAGCTAGAAACGTTGATGAGAAACATTGACCAGCTGCCTCCTGCACCCCCCACCAGGGATGTGCCCACAACCCAGGTACATGCCCTTGACCGGAATCTAACCTGGGACCTTTCAGTTCGCAAACCGATGCTCTATCCACTGAGCCAAACTGGTTTCGGCTATATGTATATATTTTATAAAGGCCGCTCAGACTGCTGCAGCTCCTGGCCCTGGCCGGGGTGGGGGAGGGGAGGGGGTGGCCAGGAGGGCACGTGCCCAGGACCAGTGCAGGGTCCCGGGTGCTGGCCGCTGCTCTAGGCCTCAGGACTCTTAGTCATTAGATCTTGGACTTGGGGTTGGGGCTGGCTGGGCTGTGAGGGCGGAAGGGACCCACAATGCCCCTTTTTCCTCCGCCCTGCCCCGTCTGTAGATGGCAGCAGGGGACATCCAGCTGGCACAGTGTTTTCCTGAGGCCCCACAGGGTATGGGGTATCGGCATGCAGGTGGGACCTCAGCCCACTCCCTGGTGCCAGCCAGCTCCCCCCCTCCCCGCCCCCCTTGGCTCCCGGAACAGAGAGCATGGCCCGAGACTGGGCAGGTGGCCAGCCTGTGTGCGGGAGGCTCTGGTCTGGGAATCCCCAGGCAGCGGCCTGGTCACTGGGATGGAATGTGCGGGCAAACCCCGAGAGCAGGGCTGTGAGCGCCCAGGCACACGGGAGGGGAGCACATCAGGCTGGGAAACGGGGAGTGCAGGCGCCCCTTCCATGAAGGAGTCCATTCAGTGAAGTGGCCCCCGTGGGCTGGCCAGCTCTCCTTTCTCAGGGTGATGTCAGAGGTTTCAGGATTGGGGACCACTCCCCATGAGGAAGAGGGTAAGTTGAGGCCCTGTGGGAAGCCAGCCTATGATCCGGGGGAGATCAGCCCCACCCCTGCCCAGCGCCAATGCCCACAAGGCCCCATGCCCTCCTGCCCCGGCTGGGGGCTCAGACCAGACCGGAATCCCTGCCCTCACCTCTGGAGTCCCGGTGGACAGACCGCGGCGCTGTCTGCCGGGAGGTGGGGGCCGGAGGCCTGAAGGTCCCCTGCCCCGCGCCCCGCTCTGCGCCCGGGGAACCCGTGGCCCCGTGGCTGGCTGAGTCTCGGTGTTAATCGCTGACACAGCCCACCCTGCTCTCCTGCACCCCTCAGAGCCCTCCCTCACGAGGTGGCCATGCGGCTGGCCCTCATCGGGGACGAGCTGGAAGTGAGATGGACGCTGCCCCGCCTTGCCCACCTGCCCTGGATGGCCATGTACAGGTACCTGCCCCCCAGGCCGCGCTTTGTCCGCCTGCCTCGGCCGCCGACAGCGGGGCCCCAGTGCCAGGATGTGTGGATGGGTCCCATGGTGGTGCCCGAGTCCCCGGTGGAGACTTATGATGCCACCTCCCCGAGGGGTCTCAGACCTCATGGGATGCTCCGGGTGGGGACAGAGAACCCTTACTGGAGACCAGGCCCCAAGGGGTGCGGTCCCTTGGCCTCAGGGAGGCAGTCTCTTGGGGAGCCCAGGCCTGTATCCAGTTTCTCTGGAGGGAGGATGTGCCCCCGTGGGACCCGCCTGTTTGGGCTGTGGCCAGGAGGGTTTTCCATGTGGCCAGTGCGCTGGCAGGCGGGGATTGGGGGGGACGACACACAGACAGGAAGTCAGGTGAACTGAGGACAGAAACAGCCTGGAGCAGGGAGAGGCCCTCCTTGGGAGCCTCCCAGGGAGGAGAGGGTGAGGGTGGCGTGGTGGCCGGGGAGAGGGGACGTGCCCACGTCTCCCACAGCTGTCACCCCATCGGCCTGTCCGCGCAGTGATGGCCTCCCCCCATCCCACTGTCTTACAGCTTCGCTCACACCTACAACCAGACCGGCCTGAGGGTTGTCCTCACAAGCGCTATGGGTGGCCTCGCTTACCTCAGGGGGAACAGAAGGTTCTGGAGCTTCCTGATCCTCAGGGACTGGGTGAGCCTGGGCAGTGGAGCTGCCCCGTCCCCGCCGCTCCCTGCGGCTTGCCTCGCCTGCCCCACGTGCCTGCCCGGTCCCAAAGCCTCTGGGTTGGGCCTGGGGCTGGGACCGCACGGACCCTGGGGCGCTCTGCCTGCTTCACACCGTGTCCTCACTTTCCCTCTGGTTCTCACTCACCTCCCAGTCAGGGGACTCTTGCCCTGAGCTGCTTTCCTACCCCACCCCACCCCACCCTGCTCCTCCCGCCAGCACAGGGGACTGTCCCCTACCCCTCAGCCTGTCCTCAGGGGCTCTTGCCTCTCCTACCCCTGCCCTCCTCTCCCTGGACCAGGTCCCAGAGCCCGTTCCTGTGGGAGATGCCCTTTTCTTACCCATTTCCTCCGCACTCCCCGGGCTGACCACTAGCCCCCGGCGGTCACACTCCCCACTCACACCCAGGGCTAACCGGCGGTCACACTCCCCGCTCCCACCCAGGGCTGACCGCCAGCCCCCAGGTGGTCCTCACTCCCGCTGCTTCTCACAGGTGTCCCCCCGTCTGGGCCACGGCCGGGGGCGCCAGTTGACCGGGCTGCTGCTGCTGGTGCTGCTGCTGGACTGGGGCCTGCACCTGCTCCAGTGACCGGTGACGCGCTGCTGGCCAGTGCGGGCGGGCTGGCCCCGCCCCCTGCCACCCTGGAGGTGGCCTTGTTGGTTTTGTCTTTTTAACTGTGTTCTTACGATCCCTTTTTATATTTAAATGTGAGTGCTGGACACTTTTGTAAGACATGAATGACACCTCTGGGCTCTGCGTGGCTCACTGCCCTCCGGGGCCACACAGCGGGCGCTGGGGAGTGCTGGTCACACCCGTGCCTGCGGCTCCCGCAGCACAGAACCTGCGGGAGGAGATCCCGAGGAGCTCAATAAAATGTGGTTTCCATTCGTCTCTGTCCTCTCTGGGTGTGCAGTGTGGAGGGAGATGGGTAGGGGGGGGGGAGTGGGGGGAGGGGGGATGCCCCAGCCACCTGCCTGCGGCACAGCTTTGGGCTCCCCCACACTCCAGAGTGCTGCTTGGGCCCCCAGCACTGGCTCACTCCGCCCTTCACGTCTTGGTGCCTGACATGGACCCTCAGGGATCCTGTCCCTGGGGCGGCCCGCCCTCCCGCTGTGCTCCAGCTCTGCCTGCGAGCCTCTGGGCAGGCGCACGGCAGGGGGAGGGTGACAGGACACCAGATTCCCCAGGGGCAGAAGGACACCCCCTCCTAGTTAAAACCAGCTTTGGTCCGACCGTGGTGATGTAAGAAGCCTCTTTGACCCCAAAGGGCAGGCCCTGCAGCCGTTCCTCTCAGGCAGGCCTGGGGTCCCTAAGACTCTCCAGTGCCCCCAACCCCACAGCAGCTCCATCAGGCTGGGCGCGTCCCGGGTGGACACAATCCCCGCCCCGGGACATGAGGCGGAGGCTGTGGGGCCAGGAGGGGCTCCTCATCTTCCATTTGGGGGCCTTTGAACACGGCCCCTGGTCTGGTCAGGATTTCTGGAGATGAGGCGAGATGGAGGCTCAGAGGGGTGCCCAGGGCACCCTGCTCCTGCCAGGGCAGGAGGGCGGCACCCAATCCAGACAGACCAGGGAGCCAGGGGACCCAAAGATGGAGGGACACTGTACAAAGATGGTGTGGTGTCCCCAGGGCTGGGGGACTGGCTGCCAGCCCTCCAAGGAGAATATGTGGGCTCCCCCAGCGCTCCCCACTCCCTGTCTCCTCCAGATCCAGCTGGCAGGGGCAGGGCGAGGGCCCACCCAGGACGGGTGGAGGTTCTCGCCACACCCTCGGGGTCCCTCCTGTGCCACTGCCTCTCGCTGGCTGTTCGGCTCCCCCAGTGGCTGGAGCATGCGCAGACCCAGGGCACCTTCCGGGGGCGCAGCAGGCCAGCCACATCTGCTGCCTCCACGCACCCCGCTCCCTCTTGTGGGGCGTCCTGGGGCTGAAGGGACCTCGGACCCCTCCCTGCCGGCAGCCGCCCAGGAGTTGGTCCCCTGACGGCGCTGCTCAGCACTCCGCAGAGGGGATTCCAGCAGAACTGGTGATTACTTAAAAATAATAAAGTTCTAGCCCTGACCGGTTTGGCTCAGTGGATAGAGCGTCAGTCTGCAGACTGAAGGGTCCCAGGTTCGATCCCAGTCAAGGGCATGTACCTTGGTTGCAGGCACACCCCCAGTAGGGGATATGCAAGAGGCAACTGTTCAATGCTTCTCTCTCATCGATGTTTCTAACTCTCTATCCCTCTCTCTTCCTCTCTGTAAAAAAATCAACAAAATATATATTTTTAAAAATCAATAAAATATTTTTAAAAATAATAAAGTTCTTTGTCAATGTTTGAGAATTTCTACATATTCTTGCCCAGCTGGTGTGGCTCAGTGGTTGAGCATCAACCTATGAACCGGGAGGTAGATCATGGTTTGATTCCCGGTCAGGGCACATGCCCAGTTTGCTGGCTCAATCCTCAGTATGATTGTGCAGGAGGCAGCTGGTCCATACTCTCTCATCATTGATGTTTCCCTCCCTCTCCCCTCCTCTCTGAAATCAGTAAAAAAAGATTAAAAAAAACCCAAAAAAACAGTTCTTCAGTCGACATGCGCAATGGCTCTTGGGGGTCACTGAGGCCAGGAGCCGGCAGAGCTGCCCACAAGCTGGGATTCCCATGGGGGGCTGGTTCTACCCGCGGGCCAGCAGGGCCTGCTGAGAGACACTGGAATGAAACACCAGCAGCCCCATCCAGGATCTGAAGAGCCAGCACATCAGCAACGTGTGACAAACAGGCTTCATTCTGAGGAGGCTTGCCCACTGTCTGATGGGTGAAAACCTCCCCAGGAGAGAACCGAGACGGCAGCATAGGTAGACGCCGCCAGAATTCCCCGCCTCCTACAACCACATCAGCATTACAGTAAACCAGAACCCCAGCATTTGGAACCACCTGGAAGCCGGCTGAGAGGAAGTCCTACGAGAAAGCACTGGCAGGAGGGGCGGAGGCACCGAACGGGCTGGCCCGGCACCCACGTGTGCCACCTCTTTAACCAGGAGGGAGACTGTCTCTGCGGAGGCCCAGTGAGGAGCAAGGGGTCCCAGCCCACACCACACCCCAGCCCAGGCTCCCAGAGCTGGGAAGAGAAGTCCCCTAACCACAGGCTGTGGAAACCAGCAGGGATTGGGGCTCAGTGACACAGGCTGCTGGAGAACCAGCTGTTCCTCTTAAAGGGCCAGCGCATGAACTGAACTTATAAGGTCCTGCTTCCTCTGGACTCAAGCGCCGGGAGGTAAGGCCCTGGGGGACCCAGGCACATGGGGAGGAACTGGATTGTCCGGCATCAGGGCAGAGACTAGAACCAGTGGACAGCTTCAGATCACACCAGATCACAACTCTCACATCAACAAGCAACACACAGAAAGCACTCAGGGCACCCAAGCCCCCCAGGAGCAAGCCCTGCTCCTGAGGGGTGTGTCCAGCACAGCAGCTCCCTGTAGGGCAGCGGGTCCTCACAGCCAACTGGCCCGGAGGGCAGTTCCTCCCAGTGACACCAACAGCAGTCAAGGCTCAACGACAAGGCTCAGCGGTCCCTTCACATAAGCGGCACAGCATCCAAACACGTTTGGAGGAGACACGGACTGTGCTGTATAAATACTCACTTTATGTGCTTTAGTGGTCACGCAGTCCCTCCCCATCGCTGGCAGGCGGAGACCGGACAGGAAGCAGCAGGCACAGCCTCCTATGGGGACGCCAGGCTGGCTCCGCCCCGGATGCCCCCACCCCACCCCGTGGTCACTGAAGACCCTACTGGCCCTGGTCCGTGGCCTCTGCGGCCTCGTCGGCCTCGAGCACGCCCACGTGGCTGTAGGACTTCCAGGCCTGCAGGTTGCAGCTCCGCAGGATGGCGCCCAGCTGCCTCCCGGGCCCCACCTCGAAGGTCCGGGGGAAGTCGGAGCCTCTCTTCCTCTCGTACAAGGCGTGCATCGTCTGCTCCCACTTCACCGGGGAGACCACCTGCTCCACCAGCAGCTGCCGGATGTGCTTGGGGTGGCGGTACCGGCTCCCGCTGACGTTGGCGTGCACGGAGACCAGCGGCATCTTGACGTCGATGGCCTCGAGGACCTGCGCCAGGGGCTCCACCGCGGGCTCCATGAGGCGGGTGTGGAAGGCCCCGCTGACCGGCAGCATCTTGGTGCGTCGGAAGTGGAACCTGGAGGAGTTCTTCTGGAGGAACTGCAGCGCCTGAAGGGACGGGCGGAGGGTGAGCTGGGAGAAGGCGCAGCGGCTGGCACGGCCCCATCACAGCCCCGCGCCAGAACATGCTCGCCCGCACCATCCCGTGTGGGCCCTCCTTTCAGTGGGTCCCACAGAGCTGTCCATGGAGATTCCGATCCAACTTGAGTCTCAAGTGGGTCCCAGCGCGGGCACAGCAGGCTCCCCTGTGGCCGGCGCTCCGGTCAGCGCTGGTCCAGCAGAGGTGCCCAGGGTCTTACATCCTGGGTTGAAGGGCCTGGCACTTCCAACAGAACCGGAAGGACACATCTGGGGCTCTGGGGGCCACTGGGCGATGCCCACTGGCCTGGGAGCCTGCAGGGAAGAGGCCCCCCGGGGTGGGGTCTGCCTGGCCCACCCTGCAGGGTTGTGCAAGGGAACAAGCGGCCAGCTTCATGACGTGGAGGCCCCTGCACCTGGTCTCCGGTCCCCTCCCCATCTTGTCAGAGGGACCTGCTGGCTCTCACTGACTGAGGAGACACGGGACACCGGCTGCTGGCAAGGCCTGCGAGGAAGCCCTCGCGGTCAAGTGCAGGAAAGCACTCGAGACCGGCTGCAGCCCGAGTGCCGCCTCCCTGACCTCCAAGCACTTGTCCTCGGCCTCCACTTCCTTGTGTGAGAGGCTGAACCCAGACTCCCCGCTGCAGAGCAAGGCCTGGCCGGGAGGACCAGACAAGGCTGTGACAGCGCCCTGCGCCCGCAGCCCTCCCTCCGGTTCCTGTCTGGACTCAGCCCGAGGCGGGAGAGCACCCAATCCCCAGCACCGATCTCCTCCAGGCTCTGCCGCCCGGCGTCACCTCCGAAGGCCCACTGATGGACAGCCTGCCCTTGAACCCTGGCCCTGAACTGGCTGTGCCCTGGGCCTGGCTCCCCCGCTCCCAGCGGCCTCCTTCGATGGCAGGGCCTGGCTCATCAGCCACGGGCCCTCGGTTGCAGAGGAGCTGCTCGCAAGTGCCGTTGGGGGGAAGCGGCGAATGGAGGGACGTGCAGGAGGGCTAACTCGGTGCAGAAACAGACATCTGAGAGCAAGCAGGGCGGGCGGGGCAGCCCAGCAGGAAGCGGCTCTCCCCTCTAAGGAAGCAGCACAGCAAGGCTGAGAAGCCCAGAACGTTCTGTAGGGAGGCCCTGGCACACAGGTGGGCTGGCGGTTTGCTCAGGGCCCCTGCCTGTACGTGTGAAGCGGGGATGGCACCGGCCTTTGGCCTCTGCATCGCTCCCGGCCCACGCTCCCGGCCCTCACACTTCCCCAGACCACGCTGGCAGAGCCCCCACTGGGGCTCACGGGGCGCAGGATCCCCACCTCCTCCGGGCCCAGGGCCCGTGAGCTTCCTGCCGTCAGCACCCACCTCCAGGTGTCCCGAGATCACCCTGCAGTCCGGGAAGAGGTAGTTGGCCACCTCACACACGGGGTCCTCTATGCCCAGCGTCTTGCAGTGCTCCCGGGCTTCCAGGCAGGCGGACGCGAACTTGGTCTGGGGCCGGCCGAGGACGGACAGCATCCCGCTGGGGACGGCTTCCGAGGCTTCCTGCATCGCCTCGGCCCGGATTTTCACCGCGTACAGACCTGGCGGAGAGAAGTGCGTGGGAACCAGCGTACGTGAGAGGGAGGGACGCTCTGGCGTGGGACACGGCACCGGCACCAGCTCCGCATGGCGTGTCGAGGTGCCGATGCTGGCATTTGTTACCGGCCATATCACTGAGATGTACCACTGTCACAGGAAGCAGGGCTGTCCTCGGCCGGCACAGACGGACCCACGGAGCTCCCGCCTGGAGGCTGGCGTGGTGTAGGGTCTGACCAGGGGTGATCTTGCCTTCCCTCCATCCCTAGTAACCTCTAATCTGTTGTCTCTGGACCTTTCACACGCAAGGATCACACAGTATGTGACCATGTGGCTCCTCACTGAGCACGTGTTTGAGGTCCATCCATGCTGCAGCCTGTGTCAGTGCTTCGCTGCTAAGATTCCAGCAGATACATGATTAGCTCATCCGCTCATCGGAAGATGGACATCTGTACTGCTCCCGCCTTTTGGCTGTTAGACACATCTGTGTACACGTCTTCCTGAGTGCACACATTTTCATCTCAGGTACAGACCTCCAGAATGATTCCTGGCTCACATGGTGATTCTCCTCTCCGCTGCACCGTTTTACTGTTACCGCACCGTGGAAGGCTCCTATTTCCACACCCTTGCCAACACTTATTCTTTTCCTATTTGTCACTGATGTTGTTGTAAATTAAAGCCGTCCTGGTGGAGCCCTGGCCGGTTTGGCTCAGTGGATAGAGCGTCAGCCTGCGGGCTGAAGACTCCCAGGTTTGATTTCAGTCAAGGGCACATGCCCAGGTTGCAGGCTCGATCCCCCAGTAGGGGGCGTGCAGGAGGTTCAGTGATTCTTTCTCATCATTGATGTTTCAAGCTCTCTCTCCCTTCCTTTCTGAAATAAAAAAATATATATTAAAATAAAATAAATTAAAAACAAAAATAAATTTTAAAAAGCCATCCTAGTGGATGTGAAGTATCTCATTGTGGTCTGTTGCTTTGTTAAAATACGCTTTTTTTTTTTTTTTTTTTTTTTTAATTTCAGAAAGGAAAGGAGAGGGAGAGACAGAGATATCAACGATGAGAGAGAATCACTGATCGGCTGCCTCCTTGCACGCCCCCTAATGGGGATTGAGCCCGAAAACCCGCACGTGCCCCGACTCAGAATCAAACTGTAAACTCCTGGCTCATGGGTCGATGCCCAGCAGCTGAGCCCACCAGCCGGCTCAGTGCGATTTTGATCTGCATTTCCCCAGTGATGAGCAATGCCGCCTATCTCCTCGTGTGCGTACTGGCCGTTTGTGAACCTTCTTTGGGGAATGGCTATTCGAGTCCTTTGCCACAGCTTCCACTCAGATTCCTGTTTGCACGCAGCATGCCCCGAGCAGGCACCGAGGTCAGAGTGGCCAACTGTGGACAAAAATGTCTAACTCTTCACTAGATGCAAAACTCATAGGAAGTGAAACTCAAGATCTAACATTCATTTCCTCCTTTTCAATCAGTGAGTTGTGCTGAGTGTCTACCACGTGACAAGCACTGAAGGAAGGACCGAGAATGCACAAGACAGCGGGAAGACGCTCAAGCATGCAGATCCCATGAGATTACAGAAAGAAAGGAAAACCCTTTCTCCCAGCTTAAACGAGAATCAAGGAGCAGCCCAGCCCTCGGTTTCAATCTCACCCCTATCTGTACGCTCCTCTGTCACCCTTGTCTCTAGGGAGCCCAGCAAGACGACACCCTGCGCCACAGCAGAGCCCGCTCCGTACCTTCCGAGAATTCCATGGCTCCGGCAAACACCAGGGCTGCGAACTCTCCCACGCTGAAGCCGGCCGCGGCGACGCAGCTCTCAATGACCTGCAGGACAGAGCAGAGCGTGAGGCCTGCTCGGGGGCGCGGCGGTGGCTGCGGAGACGGCCGGGCGGGCCTGGGCTCCAGCTCTGAGACGACACTGGCTGACCTGGCCTGTCTGGTGAGGGGCTTCCCTGGCGGCGAGGCCCCAGGCTGACCCCGAGGCACAGCTCTGCCTCCCACTCTGGCCCCGGCCCTGGGCCGCCTCCCAGGCCGGAGGGAGCTACGCACAGAAGGGAAAGTAGGACTTCTGGGGTCACACGGCGTTGGATTTGATTCTTGGCTTGGGGTAGTTCCCTAACCTTTCCGAGCCTGTCGTCTCCTCCGGGAAGTGAGGAAGGGGCAGACCCGGTCCCAGGCCGCTGGGAGAAGTGCGTGGATTAATGGTAAGCCCTCTGACTGTCATCACAGCTCAACAGGACCGCCCAGCTGCTTCCTTTCCTCATCCACAAACCAACCGCACTGTCCTCACAAGGCTGTGAGGATGAGATGGAGTGAAGGGTCTAAAGTGCTAGCGTTACGTTTACTGTCTTGTTGGGCTTTTTGTTGTGGTGGTTAATCCTCATCCAAGGACACTTTTCCATTGGTTTTTAGGAGTGAGAGAGAAATGAGAAACATCAATGTGAGAGAGACCCATCGATTGGTTGCCTCCTGTGCACATCCTGCCCAAGTTCCGTTCCAACCCGAGACCCTTCAGTCTGCAGGTGGAAGCTCTATCCCAGGAGCCAAACCAGCTAGGGGAACACTTACTGTCTTTTTTTTTAATTTCAGAGAGGAAGGGAGAGGGAGAGAGGGATAGAATCATCAATGATGAGAATCACTGATCAGCTGCCTCCTGCAAGTCCCACACAGGGGATCGAGCCCACAACCTGGGCATGTGCCCCGAGCAGGATTGAACCTGTGACCTTCTGATTCATAGGTCGATGCTCAACCACCGAGCCCCGCTGGCGGGGCAACACTTACTGACTTGATAGTTAAATAACAACAGCAATCAAGTCGCACCTGCAAGTGACGTGACACCCTCAGACGTACTGTCAATGATCTTTACGGATGACGTTTCACCCTCCCAACCTCACTCAGTACTCACACTGATCAGGACCATGCAAAACAGCATCCCAGCCCCTGCTCTATGCTCCTTCCTGCAACCCTTCTCTTCAAGACGCTCTGGAACGTGCACGGGGCTCTATCCCCTCCCTTGTCTCCCTCCCCTGCATGCAAGCTCCCTCGGGGCAGGGGTCCTTGGTGTGTGTGTGTGTGGCTGTGTCCCCGGCGCCTGGCACGGCGCCTGGCGCGGCAGGGGCCCTCAGACCAGCCCCGGTGCCCGTCCCCGCGGGCCTCACCGCGGGCTGCAGGTGCTGCAGCTTCTCCACGGCGGCCAGCGAGGCCACGAAGACGGCGGGCTGGCAGTGCGCCGTGCGGTCCAGCGCCGCCTGCGGGCCGCGCAGGCTCAGCTCCAGCAGGTCGTAGCCCAGCACGCGGCGCGCGGCGGCGTAGAGCTCGCGGACGCGCGGGTAGCGCAGCAGCCCGCGGCCCATGCCCACCTCCTGGCTGCCCTGGCCCGGGAAGAGCAGCACGGAGCACTGGCCGGGCGGCCGCCGCGCCGCGGGCTCCCGGGGCCCCTCCTCCGCCGCCGCGGTCGCATCTCGCAGCAGCTCGGCCACGTCCACGGCGCCCGGCGGCGGCGGCCGGAAGCCCGAGGCGCCGCGGCGGCCGCCCGCGCCCCAGCCCCAGGCCCCCAGGGCCCGCGCCACGCGGACGCTCATGCTGAGGACCGGCCCCACGCGCGTCACCCGGGCGACCGACGTACGGACGAGTGCGGCGGCGCGGCGCGGTCCGTGACGCATTTCCGCCCGGGCGGACCGGGCACCCGGGCGGGAAGAAAGGTTCCGCCAGTTCCTGGTTCCGGCCCTGTGTGTGACTCTTGGCTGCTGCGTGCGGGTGTCTGACTTCAGCCCCACGGAAAAGACGAAACCGCGACCCTGCCCCCCACGAGCCCTTTAAGAATTTGTTGAGTAAACAGCATTAGCAAAGCAAGAGTCACGCTTTCTGCCTAGAAAGTGCTCGAAACGCCTGCTCATTCTTTGCCTCCGCCCTTACTGGATTCTCCCAGCTGCCCTGGCGGTAAGCGGGGTAACGGCTCTCCTGTATAATGTGTCCCACACACCAGACCCGGGGCCCAGCCCGTAATAAACACCCAATAAATATGTGTCCCACCGAACGAAGCCCTGGATGTTTTTCAGACATTCGCTCATTTAATGTCTCACAGCTACTCCGTGACGGATAGGTACTGTTAGCCTCCGTTTATGGGGGAGGAGACAGAGGCTCTAAGAGTGGGTGGCAGAGGAATAGAAACGGGTTCCCTGGCTTCTGAGTGCTGGTGTGAGGCCGGGTCAAACAGTCTATCTCTAAATCTCACCCTAATCACATACATACATACGCCCCCCTTCGATTCTCTCTCATTTCCTGCCCACCCCTTCTAAGGAGCTCAGGACACACACACACACACACACACACACATACACACACTACATGCACACACTCACTCACTACACACCCTCACACACTCACAGCACACACACACACACACACTACACACACACACACTACACACACACCACACACACACACTACACACACACTCACTACACACCCTCACACACAGCACTCACACACACATACATACACACACACTCACACCACACACACACACACACACTACATACACACTCACTCACTACACACACACACACACACTACACATACACACCACACACACACATACACTACATACACACACACTCACTCAGTACACACACACACACTCACAGCACACACACACACACACTACACACACACTCACACCACACACACACACACTACATACACACACTCACTACACACGCACACTCACAGCACACACACACACACACACACTACATACACACACACTCACTACACACACACACACTCACTACACACACTCACACCACACACACACTACATACACACATTCACTCACTACACACACACACACTACATACACACACTCACTCACTACATACACACACTACATATACACACACACTCACACCACACACACACTACACACACACCACACACACACTACATACACACACACTCACACCACACACACACTACACACACACCACACACACACACTACATACACACACACTCACTACACACACACACACACACACACACTCTCACACTCACTACACACCTCATAATGAGAAAGGCCGAGGTAGAATGATGTCAGAAAATCTCCAGTGAGTTTGTCCTGAGAGTTAAAGCCCTAACGCCTGGGACATTGTGACAGCCTTGCTTTTGACAAGGAAAAGGTGTGAATAGCTGCTTGCCCCAGCGAGGAGATTAGTTACGGGAGTCATGTGAGTCTCACACTGCTGTGATCATGGAAGACGTGGGAGCGTCTCAGGCTGAGTCAGGAATGGAGCCTTGGGAAGCCCATAAACCCAGCCCAGGGAGTCTGAAGACATCCGTCCACAGGGACAGGAGAGCAGGACAGGGCCCCGCAGCAGCCTGAGCTGGGAAGCGGGCAGACCAGTGTGACCTGCTTTGGCGGCCCCCAGGCAGCCCAATCCCTCCGGCCTGGAGCTGAGGACCAACCCTTATTCATAGGACAGCGATAGCGGAGAGTAGGAGCTGGTAGCAGGCTGCTTCTAGACCTGAGGTACAAGATAAAGTAAAGAGAACCACTGGAGGGGTCTTAGATCTTTGGATCCCTCCTTCTCGCTAGCCACTGAGTGACGCCCCTCCGCCATTCTGCCAACACCCAGAGATGTGCCGGCATGCCCGGGACAGGGTGGATGTGGGCCTCCGCCGAAAGCTGAATGAGGGACAGCCACCAGTGTTCTCCCCACGGAGCTCCTGGAACCCTGGAGCCAGACCCCTCCCCTCCGCAAGGGCCCGGAGGACCCTGGGGAATCTGGCCAGTCCAAGATGAAGATCCTGATGGTATTGACAGTCCAGGAAGTTCCCAAATGGCCCACCAAGTTCAACTTAGAGTGAAGCTAAACCAGCAAATACCATCCACTGACTTATTCTCCTTTTTTTTTTTTTTTTTTCCTAATTGTGAGCAGCCATCGAAGACTCGCGGCATAGGAGGAAATGGGGGAGCCCCTTTTACGTCCCGCGTGATTCAGGGTTCTGGTTCTGGAGAAGGCCGCACACAAATGAAGAGACTCTGGAAAAGTTATTTTGGGAAATGGGGGCCAGGCGGTAGCCCAACTCTAGCGGGAGGACTACTACTTGCTCTGGCTTTTCCATCCCTTTTATAAGATTAAAATGATAGGATACACCCATATGCCCTAGGCAGGAAACTCCAATAAAAGCCAATCAGTGGATGTAGGATTAACAGGCGGGGGCTGCTTCACCTACCAATGTCTAGTCATTAGCTCTGACCCTTTAGACTCAGCAGTGTTTCCCAAACTTCTCTCATGATGAGAATCACCTGGTGGAGTTGTTAAACTACAGATTCCTGAATCCCAGCAATTCAGGTTGACCACCCTCCGGATTCCCCGTCCACAGCTCTCTATTATTAAGACAATGATTGGCTTCCGGCAAGGAAATCCTCTTACAAACAGAAAACAAAAACCACCTAGGGTTCAGAGTCCAAAGAAAATGACCATGGAAGTAAGAGAAGACACTGCCTCCGTGAAAAAGGAACAGGAAGTGACAGTAGAAAATAGCATTCCGGAAACACAAAGGAGACCCTGGGAACGAAGAATGGGAGAGCAGACGGGAGAATCCAGAGAAGGCCAGGGGGAGAGCCGAGGAGACCTCAGGAGGTGAAGCCAGGAAGAACCAAACGAGAGAAGCGGGAGCGAAAAGAAGCGAGGAGACAGCCAGGGGGTCCAGGGCACCGCGTCATGGGGTTCCAGAAGGAGAGTGAGAAACGGAGGGAAGGAAGTCAGTGTTTCTATTTTGTTCCTGGAGAACAGAGGGCCTGGGTTTCCTGGGCGGAGCGGCCCCTGCGTGCTGGCATGATGGGTGGAATGAGACGCACAGAGGGGGAAGGGGAGAGAGAGGGGGAAGGGGTTGGCATTCAGGCAGGGAGGTGGGAAGGGTGGGCAGCCAGCTTGACCCCAGCGTGGCAGAGCCGGAAGTGCCGGGCACAAGGCTTGGGCTGGCTCCTGAGGCAGTGGGAGCCACGGAGGGTCCTGGGCAGAGGAAGGGCATGGAAGGGAGCTGGGGCCAGCGAGGGCTGTGGCTGCTGCCAGGTGCAGTGGGGCCGCTGGGTTGGAGGGGAGAGAGGCGGGAGTCGGGGAGGCATGCAGGCAGGACGACAGACGTGCACAGCCATGCCCAGACTCAGTGGGTCCTGGGAGCTGCAGGCTCCCCCTGAGCCGGCTGTTAATCCGAGGGCAGGGCCTGGGGTTTGTGCCCAGCCCTCCCTCCGGCCTGCGGGGCAGCAAGTGGTAGGGACAGCAGTCTCTGCCTCCCAGGCGCCCGAGGGCCTGGCGCCCGCACGCTGCAGGGGCGAGGCTGGAGGGAAGCACAGGCTTTCCCCACAGGTCTCTTGGGGGAGGGAAACGTGTCCCTGGGCCAACCCTCTGTGCAGGGGAGGGTGAGGCTGGCAGCTCTGGAGCGTAGGCGCAGGGCCTGGACAAATGCCTTAATTTCCTTTAAAACCGAAGGAAGAGGTGGGTGGGGTCCAGCTGGATTATACTTGTCCTTATGCCAGAGCAGTCAAAGGTGGAGTGCCCATGGGACAAAATGCCAGGCCCGGGAAGTGGGACCTGGGCCCAGGAGACCCCTGAGCCCGGGAGAGGGGTGCAGCTCACGTCCCCCCAGGACAGGGGTGAGCCTGAGGCTCCGGCTCTGTCACCCAGGCCAGCCCCTGCCGGCCAGGCCCGGCTGCAGCGAGAAAGCGGCGTCAGATGGGGAGGGGTGCCCAGGTCCGGGGCTGGACCTGCGGGTCCCATCAGGGCGACCCTGGCAAACTGGGGCACCTCTGGGCTGTGAGCCTGCAGCCTCCACTCACTGGGCACCACGGCTCTGCAAGGCCTGCCTTCTGGGCGTCATTAGTCCCACGCCTGCGCCCATCCTACAGACCAGGACATGGAGGCCGGGACCCAGCCAGATGGCTGTGCCAGGAGGAGGGTGAGGCCGCCACCCGCCCTGGGGCTGCTGTTTAGGTGGGGGCTCGGGCGTTGCCATTAAGGGATGCAATGCCCCTTTCTGAGGCCCTCTCTGCTGACCCATTTTACAGATGGGAAAGGTGAGACTCAAGAGAAGAAGCGACCTGCTTGGGACTCAGCAGGGGGACCTGTGGGAGGGAGGAGGAGCCTGCTGGTGGCGGGGAGCAGAGCGCTTCCCGCAGCTCCGCCTCGGAGGGAGGGAGCTTTCTGGCCCGGGTGGGCGCGGCCGGGCTCCCCGCCAGCCGGGCGGGGCGGGCGGAGCCTCCCTCCCGGGCGGGGCGGCCGGGCTGACTTCCCGCCTCTGCCCGCCGCACCGCTCCCTTCCCCAGCAGATCCTCTGCCGGTGAGTGGGGACGGGGCGCCGGGAACCCAGCCAGGGGCCCCTCGAGGGCGCGATCCCGAGGGGGAACTGAGGCCGGAGATGGCAGGACCCGAGGGGAGGCGGAGGGGAGGCCGAGGGCTGCACTGGGAGCTGGGCTGCAAGTCACTGGGGCGGCGGCCGGGCGATGGGGAGACCAGACGTGTGTGTGTGTGTGTGTGTGTGTGTGAGTGTCTCTCTCTCTCTCTCTCTCTCTCTCTCTCTCTCTCTCTCTCTCTAACTTGGGCAGTCCGCTCCGTCCCGCCCCACCTCCGCCCCTTTGCCCAGCCCGGGGCCCGTCCGGGGAAAGCAGAGCCCGGGGAGGGCGGACACCCCCTCTCCCGCCCACTCCTGGGGGCAGCGGGGCAGGGAGGGTGGGACGCCCTTTCTAGGGGAGGAAGCCCAGGCCGCACTGGGAAGCTTTGCCCAAAAGCCAGGAAAGACGCCAGCGGCCTCAGAACCCTAGAACCTGGCCCTGGGCCCCCCATCCCAGTGCTCCGGTGCCAGCAGCCTGGGCATGGTGACCGGCCAGTCCCCTGGGCACACCCGCCAGAGAGGAAGCTGCGGCCGGTGGGCCCTGCGGAGCGCTGGGGCAGGGGCCTGGCAGACGCCGCGGGCTGCTCTGGGCGGCAAGCCCCTCCCGCTGGCCTGCCCAGGCATGTGGGTGCCCGGGGCCAGGTGCCTGGCGCCTGGGGGGGCTGCATGCTCCGGGGGGCTGCAGGAGCGGGGCTGGGCTCTTCAGGTTCAGGAGCCCAGGCCGCGGGCAGGGAGGGGGTAGCAGAGCCGAGGCCGGCCCACCGGGGCCATGGGCAGGGGGCAGGGAGGGGGTGGCAGAGCCGAGGCCGGCCCACCGGGGCCATGGGCAGGGGGCAGGGAGGGGGTAGCAGAGCCGAGGCCGGTCCACCGGGGCCATGGGCAGGGGGCAGGGAGGGGGTGGCAGAGGTGCCCGCACAGCAGGCTCTCACCAAGGCTGTGCCGCCAGGCTGTGGGCTGAGGGCTGTCTCCGTGGGGCAGAGTGGGGCCCCGCAGGGCAGGAGGAGACAGGCGGCAGCTCCTCCCTCAGCTTCTCCGAGGGAGTGGAGCTTGTCCCCTGGTGGAAAGGAGCTGTGAGCCAGGGAGGGAGAGAAGAGGCCCCCTCAGAGGCCTCCGGATGGCGGCTCCCACCCCAGAGGGAGCCTCCGGTGCCCTGGGCAGGGAAGGCTCAGATCCTGTACCTGCGGCTGGCCCCGAGGCTCCAAGGGGCTGGGCCCCAGGCTCTGGGGGGCTGGGCCGCGGGGCGGGCGGGCGGGCAGGCGGGAGGCCTTGGCGCTGGCAGGTCGGTGGGCGGAGCAGTCAGGAGGGAGGGGGGGTGACACCGGCCGAAGTGATGGGGGGGGGGAAGGGGCACAGCGTGTGAGTGGGGTGTGGCCCGGAGCTCAGGCCTGCAGAGCCCCAGCTCAGGGGGTGGAGGTGGAGTCGTCGGCCTCAGAGTTGCACAGACCCCACAGTCCTGTGATGCCCCGTGCCTCAGTTTCCTCTTCTGGACGGCGGGAATAGTGAGGATCCACACGGAGGCCCGGGGGCGTGTGGCTCAGGCCCAGCGGCTCTGAGAAGAGTAAGCGAGCGATGAGTCCAGCCTGGCCCCCTGTCAGCCGCTCCGCCAGCCCCACCCTCCAGCAGCTCCGCCCCTCAGCAGCCCCGCCCCTCAAGTAGCCCCACCCCTCCAGTAGCCCATCCCCCACCAATGGCCCCTCCCTCTAGTAGCCCCTCCCCTGCCAGTAGCTCCTCCCCTCCAGTAGCCCCACCCCTCCAGCAGTTCCACCCCCTCAGTAGCCCCTCCCCTCGCCAGCCTCACCTGCTGGCACCCCCAGGGGCCCAGGCCCTGGGCAGCCTGGGTTGGAGGGTCCCTGTGAGTGCCCAGGCCGTGGGGCGGGGCCTCCGTGCAGCACGTCCCCAGCGTGTCCAGGGCCAGCCAGTCGTTTTCTCGGCCCGGGGTGGGCTCCGTGGAGGAAATGGGGCGAGTGGCCAGCACCTGTACCCACAGGCCCGCACCGGTCTGGTCCTCACAGCCTGAGCCGCTCCCGGCCCCGAAGCAGCCAGGCCAGGTGCGCCCACTGCCCAGGGGAGACTGAGCCCGGGTCACCGGGCCACTTGGAGGCAAAGCCAAGGCCTGGGTTCTCAGTCACCTTCTCCAGAGGCAGCATGGGGGTGGCTTTGCCCCTCTGCCCCCACTCCCGGTCACGGGTGCTTCCTGGCGGCCCCGGGCCCCTTGCAGAGCGGGTCTCAGACCACAGCCCCGCCGCCTGCCGCCTGCCAGCGTGACTCGGGCCAGGCAGCCTCCAGAGGCCTCTCCCCGCGGGACATCTGGCTCCCTGAGTGCGACCCCTGACCCCCTGACCCTCTGACCCCTCGGCCCGTGGGACCAAACACAGCCTGGCCCTGAAGGGGCGGCGGGGGGCTGAGGGGGGGTGGGCCGCAGGCACTCTGGCTCTCACCCTGCTCTGTCGCTTCCGCACAGGAAAGCCACCCCCTGGTGGGGGCTTGGGAGGTGGGCTCCAGGCCAGGCCGCTGGCTGGCACCCGTGTGGGTTTGTGTGGGGTTGCCTAGGCAAGCGCTGGGTGCGTGTCAGGGTGCATGCCTCGCCCCCCCCTCCCCCGGGGAGAAGTGTGGACAGGCTGCATTGTGGAGCCTTGACAACATGGTGCCGATGAGAAGCCAGTCCCCAGAGGCCCGGGCTGCAGCCCCTGAGGAGACGGGGCACCGGGCAGTCACCCTGGAACTGCTCCGCAGAGCGGGGCGATCGCAGCTTCTCCGGGCCCAGGACGGTGCCCGCCCGCCGTGTGGCAGCCCAGCCCTGGGCAGGGACCGGGGACTGTCCCCACTCCACAGCGAGAAGACGGAGGGATCCGGCCACCGCAGGCAGAGCGGGGCCCCGCTGGGACCCAAAACTCTGTTCCTTCAAAATTAAGGTTCACTGGCGTGCTCCCCCCCCCACTTTCTTCCTCCCTCTCTCCTTGTCTCTCTTTCTCCCCCCCCCCCCCCCCCCCCCCCGCCTCTCTCTCTCTCCTTCTCTCTCTCTCTCTCTTTCTCACACACACGCTGGTCCCTCTCCTGAGCCCCAGGGCCTCCTTGGCTTCTTAATCGCTTCCTGAGTCTGCGCAGCCCGGCTGGCTCACCCTCTGCCTCTGACTTCCTCAATGAACTTTCTCTCATTTTTTAAAAAACAGTAATGCTCACAGAGACGACGGGAGGTAATGAACCGCCGGGGGCCGCCTGGGCCCGCTGGGGGCACCGCAGGCGGACCTGGCGGAGCGCCCGCCCAGCCCAGCCGGGCCGGCCACACCGCTGCTGCCAAGAAAGTCTTGGTTTCAGGATGACGACATCTTTGTGTGTTTGTTACCGTTTTTACTGAGCTTACTCACATGGTCTGCTCCCTGTAAAGATGGCGGTTGTCTGATTATTCAGTTTTATAATTATCCAGCCTCTCCCCTGCATCTGCCCCCTCCCGCCCCCTCCAGGCCAACCTGCCCTCTGGCCGTGTCCTTTTCTGGACCCCTCGCACCCCCCCTCCTCTGTCCCCCTCTTGCGTCCCCCTCTGGTGTCCTCCTCCCCTGTCTCCCTCAGGTGTCCTGTGGCTCCCAGGAAGGGAAGGGGATTTTAGGTGTGCCAGGTAGATGTTCCATTTTTCAGATGGAAAAACTGAGGGCGGCCCCAAGAGTTTGAGTGCTTTGCCTGTGAGTCTGTGAGAGCCAGGAGTGAGCCAAGCCGCCTGCTCCCAGCCGTCGGATGAGTGAATGAGAAGTTCTAGAACCTAAAGCAGGGGCTGTGGATTGGCACAGGCCTCTCAGGCCCCTGGCTGGCACTCGGCCTGGTGGGGAAGGGGGTGAGGCTGGGACGCCTGCTTGGTGGCGGGGCCATACTGGCCTGACTGAGGTGCAGAGCGGAGGGCTCCCCGTCTGCAGACCCTCGGCCGAGGCGAGAACACAGGACTGGTGCTGGGCAGGGGCTGGGGGAGCCCGCAGGGGACGGGCACCTGGGAGGCTCCTGCAGGGAGGGAGCTTCTGGGTGCGGGAGGCGTTTGGGTGGCTCGTCCCTTCCTCCTCCCCTCTTCCCTCCATCGGGCGCCATGTGAGTGAGGGCGCCCTCGGCTGCCAGGTCCGCCCCGGGCCTTCGGTGACGGCAGGCCTGACCCGGCCTGCGCACAGTAGGTCCTCTCACCCGCCCCGTTTCTCTTTCAGAGCTTCCGGACAGCAGCCGGAGCAGCGATGGCCCCGCCCTGGGTGCCCGCCGTGGGCCTCACGCTGGCGCCCAGCCTGGGCGGCTTCCTGAGCTCCTACCACGCCCGTGGGGAGGGCCTCCGTTGGTACGCCAGCCTGCAGAAGCCCCCGTGGCACCCGCCCCGCTGGGCGCTGGCCCCCATCTGGGGCTCGCTCTACTCGGCCATGGGGTGAGTGGCCGCCCGGGGCGGCAGGGCTGCTGGGCAGCGGCTCCGGCTCCGTCCCGGGGCTCCTCTGCCGGGGAGGGGGGAGGGCGGTGGGCCGTGGATTGCACCACCCGGCCCTCCCCTGCGGGCTTCTCGGGAGGGGCGGGCCGGATGGCTCAACCCCACGCTGGCACCCTGGCTGTTTTCACAACTCCAGGCTGAGACTGGCTCCGCGGGCAAAGTTCATGTGTGGGCAGCGTGGAGGCTTCCAGTGCCCCTGGCAGCAGTAGCCCCGCAGTCACAGTGGCTGCCATGTGCCGGGGTTCCGGTTGGTGCGGGCGGCCCTGGACTAGACCCTGGCAATCGCTGTGGTGCAAGGAAGTGCTGCGTGTGGTCTCCCCCTGGTGGCCACAGTCGGAACTGCACGCAGAAGGTGCAGGCAGCTTTCTGCCTATCTTCTGGAATGTTCCCTCCATGCGGGTTCTGGGCCTGCCCAGGGCAGGGTGGGGCCGAAGACCCTAGCTACCCTCGGGGCAGGTAGCAGAGGCTGGGCTGGGTGCCCCAAGTTCTGGTGAAGACAGTCCCTGAAACCTGGCTGTCACTGCCCCCTGCTCCCCTAGCCAGTCAGGCTCCCAGCGCTCCCTGCGTCCCACTCCCTCGCTCTGCCTCAGCTTGCTCTAGCCTCCAGGCCTCCGCAGTTTTTCTTGGCCTCCTTCTACCATGGAGACCCTGACACGGCACACACGTCTTGTTCCTGGAACCCTGCCCCGTGAGGCTCCTGTAGGCACTGCCAAGGGCAAACTCCTACTCACTCTGCAAGGCCCAGCCCAAATGTCCCCATATCCTGCGCAGTGCCTCGGCAGGGCCGGGAGCCACGTGGGCTTCCTTCATGGCACAGATACCGATAATAACGGTAAATACTTAGACTGCCCCATGTGCTGGCACTGCCCAAGCACAGCCAGTGTGCTAACTTGAGTCCTCACAGCAACCCTGCGGGAAATGAAGGCCCAGAGAGGTCAGGCAACTCCCCTGAGGCCACACAGCCGTCAGCGGCCTGAGCCATCGCCGTGCCATCCCGGAGGTCAGACCTGCCTGGCCTCTCCCCGCCGCTGCCCTGACCGGCCGCCTCTGTTTCAGGTACGGCTCCTACCTGGTCTGGAGAGAGCTGGGGGGCTTCACGGAGGAGGCGGCGGTCCCGCTGGGCCTGTATGCGGGGCAGCTGACCCTGAACTGGGCGTGGCCTCCCATCTTCTTCAGCTCCCGGCAGATGGGCGTGGTAAGTGCCCCCGGCCCCTGGCGATGGGCCGCCGAGGGTGGGCCTCCTGGGGGGGGGACATGAGCCTCACCACCCCGATGGGGCAGGGCCCACAGTCAGGGGCAGGCGGTGCCCAGCTCACAGCAGCCTTAGGGGCCAGCGCCCTCTGGTGGAGCCTCCGGGGCTGCTTTCCTCCAGCGCGGGAACCCGTCAGGCCAGGCTGGGGCTCCGGTTTAGGGGCCCACGTGGAGGACAACCCCATTGCCCCTGGCACCGTGCGCCCTGGCGCACGTGGTGCGAGTCAGGCAGAGGCAGTGTTGCCGTGCTCCATGCAGGGAAACTGAGGCGGAGAGCTGGGGAGGGCCTGGCCGGGCCATGCAGGGGTGGGGTGGAGAGACTGCTCCGTGGGTGGGCAGCTGGGACAGGCACCCCGGTGGGTACCCTGAGCCTCAGACCCCGTCCCCGTGTCTCCACAGGCCCTGGTGGACCTCCTGCTGACGGGGGGGCTGGCAGCGGCCACCACCGTGGCCTGGCACCGGGTGAGCCCGTGGGCCGCTCGGCTGCTCTACCCCTACCTGGCCTGGCTGGCCTTCGCCGCCGCACTCAACTACTGCGTCTGGCGGGACAACCCTGGCCGGCGAGGCGGCCGGCGGCTTGCGGAATGAGGCCTGTCCCCGAGGGCTGTGCCGCCGCCGATGGCCCGTGGGCGGGGGTAGCCCACACCTTGTGGCCGCCACACCTGCGCGTCCGCCGGGGCTCCGCCCAGTCAGCACTGGCTTTGAGGGCTCCGCTGGGCCCACACCCGGACCGCGTCCTGCACCTTCTCGCTGCTCGGGGCCGGGCTCCGGCCCCGAGTGTCACACCAAATAAAGTCTCACACGCACGGCCTTTGTCTTGGGAAGCTCACCCCCTGCTGTGTCCGAGCTGCGTCACCGGAAGATGGGCTCAGGGTGCCTGCCTGCTCCGGCGCCCCCCAGGCCCTGTGAACGGCGAGGGGCCCAGGCCAGCAGCCCGGGTTTGACCCGGAGCCCACACTGGCTGTGCTGCTGCCTGGCTGGCAGGGCCCAGGCCCGGGCCTTGGCTTCAGCTGACCGGCCGGCCTGCCCCCTCAGACTCCAGGAGCCGGGCTCGGCCTCTGGAAGGGTGCAGCCCACAGTCTGCCTGGGCCTGAGGCAGGGCCCTCCGTCGCCGTCCCTGGGGGCCAGGACTCCTGCCAGCCCCCCAACCCAGGGCAGCCCCTCAAACACCTGAGGGGGGAGGGGACATCAGAGGCAGAAGAGGCCGGTCCCCGTCCAGCAGGCAGCAGGCCCTCACTGTCCAGACCTGCCAGGTGTGGTGACCCCCGACCTCACACGAGACCCACGCCCTCAGACAGCTGTTTGGAGTAAGGGAGGCGGGCAGAGGCCTAGTGGGGAGGTTGGAGCGGAGGGGGCGCTCCTGCTGGGAGGACGGCTGGCTTTGCTGCCTGTCTGGGTGGCTGTTTAACACGTTGATTAGAATCGGCCACACTTGCCTGTGTAGAGCTCTCAGCGGTTCGGCAGCCCTGAGCTTCGCTGCCCCCGCTCCGTCTCCTCCCTCCCCCGGCTTCACGGTCAGACGTGACCCACATCATGAGCTCGGGGGGGGGGGGGGGCCGAGCAGCCAGCCGCCCGGCAGCCGCCCCCACGCTCGCTGCGATGGATGTCCACGCGGCTCCGCAGCGCCTGGCAGGGCCGGGCTGAGGCTGAGCCGGGCGGCTCCCGTGTTCCCGGGGCCCACAGAGCGGCGGGTCCGGCGGGGCTGCACTCACTTTACCGCTTGGCTTCGCATGTCTGACAGACGCCGTGCGGCCCCCGGCCCCGAGGCTGCCCGTCTTCCCATGATGCCCGCAGACCACTGTCCACTCCCTGCACCGCGTCAGCTCCTCCCGCACCCACCTGCGCAGCCCGACGCCAGGGGGTGGGCAAGGCGGCGGCATTTGCCCTCCGCCCGCTGCTGTGGGCGAGGCTCTGGCTGTCCCTGCAGCGTGCTCTCCCTCTGGCCGTCACCGCCACGAGGCCTGTGGGTTTCCACGCCGGCTCAGCAGCAAAGCCACACCAGGCAGGTTTACGGGGTCCTCGGGGTGCACCCTTCCCGGAGCCGCTTCCGCGGGTGGGGTCTTGGCTCCCCTCCTGTCCACTGACCACGCCACAGGGCCAGCCCCTCACGCTGCCCACAGGCTGGGCGGGGGTTGTCGTTTCTGCACCAGCTCCCTGGACCCGCTGGCAGCCTTGAGCGGCAAGGGCCCTGGTGACCCCTCATCCCAGGATGAGGAAACAGGAAGTCCCGGCCCGGATGTCAGTGCTCAGAGCTCCGGCCCAGTGCACAGCGGCCTGGGCTCAGACCAACCTCCACTTCCTGCTCTGAAACGCAGACACTGGGTCAGGGAGCTGCTGTGGTCTGAGGGTGCCTGTCCCCCCCAATTCACGTGCTGTACCAGGAGGTGAGCCCTCTGGGGTGGTGGACAGACCCTAACAGACCCGCAGACCCCTCACCGCTCTGCGCGGGACGCAGCACGAGGTCCGTGAACCGGAAGTGGACTCCCGGACACCCGTCTGCTGGCCCCTTGACCTCGGGACCCCAGGCCGTGAGAAAAGCTCCTGCCGTCGAAGCCGCCAGTTTTGTTACGGCGGCAGGGCGGGCTGAGACAGGGATGTGGCCCCGAGCACCCCGACTTCTCCTCCCAGGTCTCACGCCCGGAGAGTGGTTGAGCCAGGAGAGCCGCGGGCAGAGCCAGGCCCGTGGCCCCAGGACCCAGACACGGAGGCCGGAGCATGAAGGCGCCGGAGGGGACAGACACCAGCGCTGTCCGGGGGGGAGGCAGGTGCCGTCCCGCCCTGAGGCCGCCCCTCGGTCAGCAGGGCCCGGCCCCGGTCAGCAGAGGGGGGCAGGCAGAGGGAGGCACGTCTGTCCCGTCTCACTACAGGGGTCTCTCTTGGCTTCAGAATGAACATGCACGCGCACACACATGCACACACAGCAAAGCAGGCCCCCGCCACTGACTCCACATTTCAGAAATGACATTACGAACGACGGCTCTGTATTTCTTCCCATACACGAAAGAGTAACAATAATGGACGTTTGACCCTTGACACTGGTGGAGGACCTATCTGACGGGAAGTTCTCGGTGGAATCATCCCTTGAGGCCACTCCTGCCTGTTGCTCTGCTGCCCACGCAGGTCCCCTCGCCCCAAGTCCCTCTTCGTAGTGCCACCCACCCTCAGGGGCACTGCCGCCAGGGCGGCCAGGGCCACGGGGAGCGGATGGCTGCCCACAGGTCTGCTGGTGACGGTTCTGGGGAGGGGAGATGGGGGCGTGAGAAGACTGGGTCCCCAAGGTTCTGGGACGCCTGCCACATGGGCCGAGGGGAGGGGTGGAGCCTGGCCCGCCTGGGGGAGCCATGACACCTCACAGATGGGACAAGAGCCGCCGGCCCTCTGATGTCTGGGCTCCCACAGGTGTTCCTGGGGACCTCGTTTCTGGGGACACCTCGTCACACTCCCCAGAGCCCCTCTCGCTAACGCCCCTGGACACATGGACGCCAGGAACCGAACTCGGCGACGAAGCCGGGGCTGTGCTGAGCCACCGCACGGGCAGCGGGGGGCGCACAGCGCCGGGCACTCGGCAGGGACAGGCGAGGGCCTGCCTGGCCTCGGAGGACCTGCGCCTGGGGGAGCGGGGCGGCACCTGGCGGCCTGGCCCGGAGGAGGGGGCTCTGAGCAGCGCCTAGAGCAGGCGGGTGACGGGGCAGCCACCGGGCTGGTCCAGGAACAAGGTGCTGAAGACGTCGTTGAAGAAGCTGGGGTGGTAGCGGCAGGCGCGCTCGCAGTCCGGGTTGAAGTTCACCTCCAGGATCTGGGGCTGCATCACGCGCTGCCCTGCGGGCACACAGCAGGCACCTCACCGGGGAGCCACGGAGGACCCGAGGGCCCGGCTAGACTCCCCTGAGCCTCCAGGAAGCTGGGGGGGGGGGTGCCCTCCCCACCCTCCCTGTTTGCTCCGCATCACGCAGGCTGTCACCCCTAACGATGGCCTCCCCAGGCCCAGATCTCTGGCAAAGGGCAGCCAGCAGCCCCGGCCAGCGGTGCCCCTGTGGACACGGCTTTCCTCACCGTCCGGACGGCTGTCCCACTTGAGCATGAGGTCAATGGCGTACACGGCACGGGACGAGGGGTAGTGGCCGAGGCCGCGGGGAGGGGGCTCCGCGCACGCCGCCTGGAACAGCTCCGTGAAGGCCCGGAAGATCTCGGCCTGCGGCAGGCGGCGGGGTCAGGGCTGCGGAGCGGCTCTCCCTGTGGGGTTTGCTGCCCCTTCCCAAGCCCCAGCCCCCACAGGGCCCGAGTACCTCTCCTCCATCCCATTCCCCCAGGCCTGGCCCAAGCCGCCTCCGCCACACCCGCCCTCAGTCCGGCACCACCTGCCCGTCTCCTCTTCCAGCCCGGCTCCCTCTCACCCGGTGTGCAGGGCGCCTGCCTCGCTCACCCGGGCACCTACACCTCCAGCGGAGGCCCTGCTGCCCCGTGGGTTTGCGGTTCCTGGGACAGGCAGGGCTGAGGCCCTCCAGGTCGCCCTCCACACCTCCCGTCCCTTCCCTGGCCTCGGTGGGAGCAGCAGGACATCCGAGGCGGCAGACAGACCCCCACGGGGCCCCACAGAGGCCCTGGCCCTTACGGCTTCGCTCAGGACTCACCTGGACGCCCCTCCAGGGGAATTCTGGGTACTGCTTCTCGAATTCAGGGATGAACTCGTCGTAGTGCACCTGCGACAGACACAGGCCCGTCACTGCTGCCCGCCTCCACGGGGGCCTCGGACACTCACTGAGGCCACCTGTCGGTGCCAGCAGCTTACCCTCCACCCCCCGGGGCACAAGGGAGGCAGGAGCCGAGTCTGAACCCTGGACCTGCAGCCTCCGTGTCTTCATCCATGAAATGGGACGTGCTCCCCGCCCACAGCTTACCCTGCAGGGCCGCTGCAGCCTCACAGGAGGCAGTGCACCCAGAGGGCCCCGCAGGCTGTGGGGACGGACACGCCCCCGTGTCAGGGCGCTGGGACAGGCCTGGGGCCCGGTCTGCACGGCCGGGGGCAGCGGCTTCTCAGGCTTCTTCCAGAAACGCCCGGTGGGCTGCCCACGGGAGCCCGGTGCGCACGCCCTCCTGACACGTGTCCCCACACACGGGCTCCAGGAGACGGCCCAGGACGACACGTCCTCGATGCCGAGGGAGACAGCGTCGTGGGACCCAGTGAGGCTCAGGCTCCAGGGACCCGTGGGCGCAGCCCGGACGGAAAGAGGGACAAGAGGCAGCCGCCCTGCTGGGTGCACGGGGCACCGGCCCGGGGGCCTCAGGCCTGGCCCGGGCAGCAGGCTCAGGAGCAGGGAGACAGGAATGAGCGCCAGCTGGCTAGCATGAGGGGCAGGAATGGCTGCAGCCGCACGGACAATGACTGCGAACCCTGAAACCTGCTCAGCCAGAGCAGAGTGTGGCGTCTGTTCATGAGGTGCTGCTTACACACAACCTCCATGTGCACACAGGCGTGTGCCTTGTTCATGCTGAACGGACTCAAGACGGGCCACTCAGCCCGACCGGCGTGGCTCAGGGCTGAACGCCGACCTGTGAGCCAGGCCGTCACGGTTCGGTTCGATCCCTGGTCAGGGCACAGGCCCGGGTCACAGGGCTGATCCCCAGGGTGGGGTGTGCAGGAGGCAGCTGAGCAATGATTCTCTCTCGTCATTAATGTTTCTGTCTCCCTCTCCCTCTCCTTCCTCTGAAATCAATAAAGACATATTAAAAATAAAAATAAAAAAGTGCCTCCACACTTCGGAGTGGCCCCTGGCGGAGGGGGAGGCACGCAGGCCTGTGTGTGTGTGTGTGTGGGGGGGGGGGGGGGGGGTGCAACCTCGGCAGGTGAGGGGGCTGCTGAGATAACACGGGGCCAGAGGCAGCTCCTGTCCACACAGCCTGCCTGCTCCCCAGGACCCCCCTGCCTCCCCCTTACCTGCTTTAGCACCACTTCCGGGTCGTAGTTCATGACGGTGAAATGCTTCTCGTAGTCGTCCAGGTCGGTGAGGGCGAAGGGCCTGCAGGGCCAGCAGGCAGGCCTGAGTGGGTCCCGCCGGCCAGCCTGTTCCCGTGGCCCCACGGGGCCTCCCCAGGCCCGGAAATGTCACTGGCCCACAGGGGTGGTGCCCGCTTACAAGGCGGCCCCCCCCACCTTGCCCGGCCCTGCCCGCCCGCCTGCGCCCCTGTTACCGGTTGGAGAAGCGCAGCCAGAACACGTCGTACACGAACAGCTGCAGGGGCTCCACCGAGCGCAGCAGCACGATGTAGCGCACGTCGAACTTGACCTTGCCCACGTCCTCCCGCAGGAACAGGACCGGGCTCTCGATGTACTTGCAGACCACCTGCGGGCAGACCAGGCTCACGGTCCCGCTGCACCCCAGGGAGGGCACGGCCTGTGGGACATCCCAATCCGTCCCCGGACCCTCGTCCACCTGGGACAGCCCCCTTCGCTCTCCTTTGTTCACTGAAGGAGAAGGTCCCACCGGCTCAGGCTTTGGGAACTGAACACACATTCCCAGCCTGAAAGCCCGGCCCCCGTTCCAGGGGGACCCGCAGTGACGGTGCCGGGCCCGCTCCCCTCGCCTCGGCCTCTGCCCTCCAGCGCCCGCCACTGCCACCTGGTGCTGTGCACAGCACCCCTCTGTCCAGGGCCCGGCCGCTGCCCTCCAACCGTGCGGTCACGTGTGGTGCAGCATGTGGGGACCTGAGGTCAGACACACCCAGGACGGCTCTGACTGGGCCCCTCCTCTCACCGGACTGCCATGGCACCGCCCTGCTGGCGGGGCCGGGGAAGGAGTGGGGTGTGGGCCAGACCGGTCCCCGCCCCGCGGCCACGAGGCCCTCCCCGCGGGGCCCACCTTGGGGCTGCTCTCCCGGTGCCGGATGACGCTGTGGAGGCTCCTGGTGACGTGCGTGTCCAGGCTGCGTGCCAGGTTCCAGGGCTTGCAGATCCAGTGGTTGTCCTCGCCCCTGGGAGCAGAGGGAAGGTGGGGTGTGCCCGAGGGCCCTCCCAGGCGCCGGCCCCGGACCGGGGAGAGAGGGACCCTCCCCTCGCCCACCCTGGGAGAGAGGGACCCCCTCTCACCCGCTGAGGGAGGCGGGGCCTTGGGGATCAGGAGGGGAGGCCTAGACCCGCACAGCACAGCGGAGGGAGGGCCTGGGCTGGGGGCTCACCGCCGCTCCCGCTGCTGGAAGCAGCTGACGAACTGGGGCAGCTCGGTGCGCAGGTTGAAGGTGCGGGGCAGCCAGGCCGGGCCCTCGGGGCCCCCCGCCCGGCGCGCCACGGAGGCCAGGCAGTCCTTCACGGTCAGCAGGCTCTCGCAGGGGAACTGGTTCAGCAGCACGCGCGGCCTCTCCCGGCTGAGCCGCCTGCGGGAGGCGGGACCGGCTCAGGGCTGTGTGCGTGTGCGTGTATGTGTGTGTCTGTGTATGTGTATGTGGGGGGGACTGTGTGTGTGTATGTGGAGGGGGCTGTGTGTGTGTATGTGGGGGGGGCTATGTGTGTGTGTGTGGTGTGTGTGTGTGTGTGTGTGTGTGTGTGTCTGTGTGTGTGTGTGTGTGTGTGTGTGTGTGTGGCTGTGTGTGTGTGTGTGTGGGCTGTGCGGGGGTCTGTGAAGGGAGAGCCGTGGAGGGTGTGTGTGTGTATGTGGGGGGTCTGTGGAGGGAGAGCCGTGGGGGGGCTGTGTGGTGTGGGGGGGGTCTGTGGAGGGAGAGCCATGGGGGCTGTGTGTGTGTGTGGGGGGGCTGTGTGGGTGTGGGGGGGGGCTGTGTGTGTGGGGGGGGCTGTGGAGGGAGAGCCGTGGGGGGGTTGGGGGTCTTTGGGGGGGTCTGTGGAGGGAGAGCCGTGGGGGGGCTGTGTGGGTGTGTGTGTGTGTGTGGGGGGGGGGTCTGTGGAGGGAGAGCCGTGGGGGCTGTGTGTGTGGGGGGGCTGTGTGTGTGTGGGGGGGGTCTGTGGAGGGAGAGCCGTGGGGGTGTGTGTGTGTGTGTGTGGGGGGGGGGGTCTGTGTGGGTGTGGGGGGGGTCTGTGGAGGGAGAGCCGTGGGGGTGTGTGTGTGTGTGTGTGGGTGTGGGGGGGGTCTGTGGAGGGAGAGCCGTGGGGGTGTGTGTGTATGGGGGGGGGGCTGTGTGGGTCTGTGGAGGGAGCGCCGTGGGGGGGGGAGGTGCGGGCGCCGGGCCTGGAGGGGCCTCACCGGTAGTCCTTGAAGTGGGAGAAGTGGAAGAGGATGTCGGCGTCCGCCTCGCTCGGCGTGAAGGTGAAGCGGGGGTGCGTGAGGTGGTCCAGTACCTGCTGCACGTCCGTGTGGACCCTGCGGGGAGCGGGCGGTCAGGGCGGGGGAGGGGGGCCCTGCAGGGAGCGGGCGGTCAGGGCGGGCGAGGGGGGCCCTGCGGGGAGCGGGCGGTCAGGGCGGGCGAGGGGGGCCCTGCGGGGAGCGGGCGGTCGGGGCGGTCGAGGGGGGCCCTGCGGGGAGCGGGCGGTCAGGGCGGACCCTGCGGGGAGCGGGCGGTCGGGGCGGGCGAGGGGGGCCCTGCGGGGAGCGGGCGGTCGGGGCGGGCGAGGGGGGCCCTGCGGGGAGCGGGCGGTCGGGGCGGGCGAGGGGGGCCCTGCGGGGGGCGGGCGGTCGGGGCGGGCGAGGGGGACCCTGCGGGGAGCGGGCGGTCAGGGCGGGGGAGGGGGGCCCTGCAGGGAGCGGCTGTCAGGGCGGTCGGGGCGGGCCCTGCGGGGAGCGGGCGGTCAGGGCGGACCCTGCGGGGAGCGGCGGTCAGGGCGGGCGAGGGGGGACCCTGCGGGGAGCGGGCGGTCAGGGCGGGGGAGGGGGGCCCTGCGGGGAGCGGGCGGTCAGGGCGGGCGAGGGGGGACCCTGCGGGGAGCGGGCGGTCAGGGCGGGCGAGGGGGGGCCCTGCGGGGAGCGGGGGGTCAGGGCGGGGGAGGGGGGCCCTGCGGGGAGCGGGCGGTCGAGGGGGGCCCTGCGGGGAGCGGGCGGTCGGGGCGGGCGAGGGGGGCCCTGCGGGGGGCGGGCGGTCAGGGCGGGCGAGGGGGGCCCTGCGGGGAGCGGGCGGTCAGGGCGGGCGAGGGGGGCCCTGCGGGGAGCGGGCGGTCAGGGCGGGGGAGGGGGGCCCTGCGGGGGGCGGGCGGTCAGGGCGGGGGAGGGGGGCCCTGTGGGGAGCGGGCGGTCAGGGCGGGCGGTCGAGGGGGGCCCTGCGGGGGGCGGGCGGTCGGGGCGGGGGAGGGGGGCCCTGCGGGGAGCGGGCGGTCAGGGCGGGGGAGGGGGGCCCTGCGGGGAGCGGGCGGTCAGGGCGGGGGAGGGGGGCCCTGCGGGGAGCGGGCGGTCGGGGCGGGGGAGGGGGGCCCTGTGGGGGGCGGGCGGTCGGGGCGGGCGGGGGCCTGTGGAAGGCCGGCTGGAAGCGGGCGGACGCACCTGAAGATGTGGTCGCTGGGGTACACGGCCGCATCGATGGCCAGTGGCAGCTGCTCCCTGTTCTCCTTCAGAATGGCCTGGAGGGAGAATGGGAGGGAGAATGGGAGGCGGAGGCGCCTTTGAGAAAGGAAGCCACAGTCTCGCTTCCCCGCCTCCCATCCCCGCACCCCAGGGCTCAGGACCCGGGGCACACCCAGCCCTCAGCGGAGCCTCCCAGAGCTTCCACCCCCCCCTGCCCTGGCCCGGGGTCTGGGCTTGAGGCTCGCAGCTGCTGGGCAGCCCGTTTCTCAACCCACCTCCACGCCCAGCGGCGGGTGCCCAGCCTGCCTGGAGGGGCACCCAGCCTGGGCAGTGTGGTGGGCAAGGACCCCCTCCCCCGCGACTCTGACCCCGAGAATGGCTTCATTTGCCTGCCCGTGTGTGCGGGTGATGGGCTGCTTTCAACCAACAGGAAGTGAAACAACATTGTGCAAGTTCAAGTTCACCCACGGCCTGGGCTTCCTCCCCCTTCTCCTGGTCACCTGCTCTGAGCAGGGAGCTGCCACCCCGTGGGGACACGCCAGCCTCCTGGGCGGCCCCTGGAGGCGAGGCCTCCACCCGCAGCCACACCACGCCGGCGTGGGGCAGTCTCCGGAGGCGGCGCTGGCTGGTGCCCGCTGCCTCCGGCACAGACGGCGGGATGGCACACGTCTCTGTTTGAAGCTGCAGTGGCTGCTCCCAGCGATAACGAACTAAGGCCCGAAGCACAGCCTCAGCCAGCCGGGGCGGATGGGCCGATGTGGTCAAACAGCCAGCGCCTCAGGGCTGGGCCTCTCACCCTCTTCCCGGCCAGCAGGGGGCGAGCCAAGGAGAAAAGACATTTAACTCATGTCTCTCTAACAAACACTGAGGTCAGGAAGTCTTTCAAGGCTCAGTGGTTGAGGGTGGACCTGTGAACCAGGAAGTCACGGCTCGATTCCCGGTCAGGGCACAGGCCTGGGTTGTGGGCTTGATCCCCAGTGGGGGGGCGTGCAGGAGGCAGCCGATCCATGATTCCCTCTCATCATTGATGTTTCTCTCTCTCTCTCTCTCTCTGAAATCAATAAACATTTAAAAAAAGATGAGGCAGCCTTTGTCCCTCAGCCCTTCTTAAGCCTCACTCCTCTGCCTTCACTTTCCAAACGCCCGGGCAGGGAGGCCGGGGCAGGAGGCCGCACCTGGTAGTACTCGGCCGGTGGCTCGGGCGTGCGGGAGCTCACGTCCTGCAGGTCGGAGGGCACCCAGGGCAGCAGCATGCACCTCCGGACCAGGGGGTCCGTCTCTCCGTAGGCGAAGTCCCGCGTCACCTCCTCTGCAGGAGACATCGGCCGTCAGGGGGGAGACATCGGCCGTCAGGGGGGGAGACATCGGCCGTCAGGGGGGGAGACATCGGCCGTCAGGGGGGGAGACATCGGCCGTCCGGGGGGAGACATGGGGGGGGAGACATCGGCCGTCAGGGGGGGAGACATCGGCCGTCAGGGGGGGAGACATCGGCCGTCAGGGGGGGAGACATAGGGGGGAGACATCAGCCGTCAGGGGGGGAGACATCGGCCATCAGGGGGGGAGACATCGGCCATCAGGGGGGGAGACATCGGCCATCAGGGGGGGAGACATCGGCCGTCCGGGGGGAGACATGGGGGGGGAGACATCGGCCGTCAGGGGGGGAGACATGGGGCCGTCAGGGGGGGGACATGGGGCCGTCAGGGGGGGAGACATCGGGCCGTCAGGGGGGGGACATGGGACCGTCGGGGGGGAGACATGGGGCCGTCGGGGGGGAGACATGGGGCCGTCGGGGGGGGGGACATGGGGCCGTCGGGGGGGGACATGGGGCCGTCGGGGGGGAGACATCGGGCCGTCGGGGGGCAGGAGACGGCTGGGCATGGCCGGGGGCGCTGGCTCACCGCCCGTGTCCAGGTCCCGCAGCGGCCACAGCAGCGTGTAGGCCACCTGCTGGGGCACGTAGAAGAAGGGCACGGCGCCGAAGCTGGGCTCGTCCGCGTGCTGGATGCGCGAGCCGAACTCGTCCATGATGTACCACACCGGCACCTTCTCCTCCGCCGTCTGCGGGCGGAGAACGGCCTCGTCCACGGCCCCCTCCGCCCCCTCCGCCGTCCACGGCCCCCTCTGCCCCCTCCGCCGGTCCACGGCCCCCTCCACCCGTCCACGGCCCCCTCCGCCCCCTCCGCCGTCCACGGCCCCCTCTGCCCCCTCCGCCGATCCACGGCCCCCTCTGCCCCCTCCGCCGGTCCACGGCCCCCTCTGCCCGTCCACCGCCCCCTCCGCCCATCCACAGCCCGCCACTGCCCCCTCTGCCCCGTCCACACACCCACCACCACCCCCTCCGCCCGCCCACGGCCCCCTCCGCCCCCTCTGCCCGCCCACACACCCGCCACCGCCCCCTCCGCCCGTCCACGGCCCCCTCCACCCACCACCGCCCCCTCCGCCCGTCCACAGCCCCCTCTGCCCATCCACAGCCCGCTCCAACCCCTCTGCCTCCTCTGCCCTTCCACGCCCCCGGCACCCACCACCAGCGCTCTGAGCGCAGACTCCAGCCCCTGGACCCAGGGCCTCCGGGCCTCGGCCCCGCCTGGCAGACGGGACCCAGGCCGCAGTCAGGGTACAGGTGCGTGGAGACAAGGCGTGGATGTGGGGGGTCTTGGGTCTGGCCAGGGCTGGGGAGGGGGCAGACGGGAGACTTGTTCAGGGGAGGTGACACCAAAGCTGAGGTCCTGAGAAACCACCTGTTCTTCCAGCCCGCACGTGGGTAGGGCTGGAGCCCGCGGGGGAGCGGCTGGGGGCTGTGCCGACAGCCCGAGGACACGTGCCGGCAGGACTCCCTCGTCTCCCGAAGGCGCCGGGAAAGAGGCAGCCCACGGGTAGGGGTCTGAGCGGGGTGCGCCCCGTGAGCTATGTCCACGCAGACCCTGGGGTCCTGGCGTTGGCTGGTGCGAGGCGGTACCAGGAAGCCTCGGGGAAGGGGCGCTTGCTCACGGTGGGGTGGAGGCGGCTGGGCCCGGGCTCCTGGCCGCCCGTGTCTGTGTCCGCGCCCCCCTCCCCCCGCCCCGCACTCACCCCGTGGGACAGCTGGTAGGTCTGGTTGAACTTCCACATCTCCTCCAGCACCTGGTCCACGGCCGCGGCGCTGGGCAGCTCCCCGTGGAACTCGATGCCCATGAGGTTGGCCATGCGGTGCAGCAGCCCCGGGATCTGCTGCAGCTGCTGGCGGGCGTGCTCCACGTGGCACGTCCAGGCGTGGTCGACGAGGAAGATGCTGCGGGCACAGGCCACGGGGTGAGGCTGCCACGCGGGCACCGCGAGACGGGAAGCAGCAGGGACGAGAGGAGGAGGGGCCGGGCTGCGGCCTGGACCTGCACTCCCCCGACCGCTTCTCAAACAGGACAGCAGGGCCACGTCCCACCCCGGCCGAGGAGCCGCGGGAGACGGAGCACACAGCGCTGACTGAGCGCCGTGACTGTTACAGCGACCACCGTAACCGAGTGACTGCCCCCCGCCCGCACCTGTGCCTACAGCCCGGCCACGCCGTGCAGCCAACGCACAGGCTCACAGGCTGGCGGCCGGCAGCGGGCGGAGCTCACCACGGGCACCGCCTGGGAGGCACCACGCACGGCCTTCTCTCGGGCAAGGCCTCAGATCCCCACACACGGACACCCACGCCCAGGGCTGCCACACAAACAGGTGAACGGGCCTGGCATGTGCCCTGGCTAAAATGACCAAGACGGCCGATGTGCCCGGTCTCAGGCTGGCTGGCAGGCTGGGTGGTCTTGACTCTGAGCTTGCACAGCCGGCCCTCCGCAGCCTCGGTGTCGGCAGCCCCAGGCTGAAAGGTGTGCAGCTCGCCGGGGGCCGGCATGCTGTGTGGTCAGGCCCACGAGGGTGGCATCGGAACACGCGCACACACTGACCACCGTTCCCTAAACCACAGAGCACACAGCTTGCACACGTTAGGCTGTAGTCAGTACTATGAGTAACCGAGAGATGATGGAGCTCACGCAGGGTATGGTAGGTTACCGGCAAGCACAGGGTGGGATAAAAGAACAGCTACAGCTGTCCGCAGGGAAATACAATAACTAATCAGTAACAAGGATAAGCTGCTCACGTACTCACAGCTACAGACCCACTTCTGCCCGCCCTGTGCTAGCTATTTGCCTGGGCACGTGGGCAGCCGGGGTTTGGCATCTGAGCGGGTCCGGGGACCTTCCCCTCGGACATGAAGATGTCACTGTGGATCCCCTACAGCACGTGAAGGTGCGCCTGCCCTCCTGCTTGGAGTTCATGACCATGTGGCGCAGTGCCCAGCTCCCTGAGGTGCCCCGTGCCCGATGCCCCGGTCCTGGGCCCGGGCGCCCACAGGCAGGAACGGAGCCGGTGCAGGTGGAGGTGCTGGGGCTGCAATGACCTGGGCGGCCACTCCCCCCACCTCGGGCTGGCAAATGCAGCCACGGGGCCTGAGGCTCCCAGAGGCCACCAGGGCCCCCTCCGGTGCCAGCGAAGTCCGGCAGAGGGCTGCAGCTGTCCTGGCGGCCCCGGGGAGCAGGGGCTGGGTCTGGTCTGAGCTCTGCTCTGTCTGCCCTGTGGCCCCGGACAAGGCCCGCCTGCTCTGGCTCCGTGTCCTCATCTGGGGCCTCCACCAGACCGCACTCCTCAGCCCGGGAGCAAAGCCCCAGAGGACGTGCTGGGTCCCAGCGCCACCAGAGATGCAGATCTGGAGACGGGAGAGGCCAGGCGTCCTTGCTAAAGCGGGGTCCCCACTGAGACGGCAGCGGGTTCGACACCCACACTCCACAGCGGCGGGCCCTGGAGAATCCTTCCCCCTCCTCACCAGCAAAACCAGACTCCCCACCTGCTGTGCGACCACGGTGGCCGGGGTGCCGCGGAGGCTGCTCTCAGGACCACCCCCCACCGGGGGCGCCACCAGGACCCAGGCCGCCACCAGGACCCAGGCCGCCGCAGTCTCAGCCACAGGAGCGCGCGAGTTCCTGCATGGCTGCTGCTCCCCAAGGCCCACAGGGGTTATACAGTAACTAACAGTTATTAGCTATACGATAACTAATCAATAACAAGAATAAGCTGCTTCACGTTCTTACAGCGGCAGACCCACTCCCGCCCCGCCCCGTGCTACGCCATTGATCCTGGGGACGTGGGCAGCGGGGTTTGGCACCTGAGCGGGTCCTCGGGGAGACCGCTGAGAGACAGCCACCCCGGGGGACAGGCCCGCCCAGGCCTACCTGTTGGGGTCGGCCGCCCGCAGCCCGTTCTCGTTGGTCACGATGACCTTGTAGCAGAGCTCGCTGCCCGGGTTGGGCTTCTTCCTGTGTGCTTCCCGCGCAGCCTCGTCCTCACCGTCCTCCTCCACCTCCTCCACCTGCATGATCCCGAACATGTCCCCGGCGTCGAACACCTGGAGCACAGCGCGAGGGTTAGGGGACGCCCAGCCCTGAGCCCTCCCTGCAGCCGGCCTGCCGCTCCCGGCCTACGGACCCATTTCACAGGTGGGGAAACTGAGGCTCCTAAAGAGAGCACAGTCAAAGCTGGGGCCACGCTGAGAAGCGGGCCTGCAGGAACGTGTCTGGGTCTTGTCTACTCCGGCCCAGCTGCACAGGGAAAACAAGTCACGAGGCAGAGTGTGTGTGTGTGTGTGTGTGGGGGGGGGGGGAGGCTCTGGTCACACTGGAAGTAAATGAAGGTCAAGATTTCGTGATCTCTCCCCCATTGTGCTCTCAGCAGAGGGACTAACTCATCAAGCACCAGGGCAGCAGAGAGAACCTAGAGGAAAACAGGTGTCCAGTCTCCTGTGGCCGCCGAGCGCCAGCCCCCCAGCCCCCCAAAACAGCCAGGCCCGCAGGAAGCATGGCCTGGGATGGGGCTGGTCTCCTGAGGTCTGGGCCGGGGAGATAAAGGCCTTGGTCGTGGGTTCCTTGGCAAAGGGCAACTGCCAGCCACGTGCAGCGGGGAAGAGGCGGCAGCCCCTGTGTTCTGGAGCTGGGCTACGTGACCTCAAACAAGACAGTGAGCCAGGCCGTGCCTCAGTTTCCCCATCCGTACGTTGGCATGTTTGTTCCCAAATCAGAGGGTGGCTGGGAGGGTTCATGATGAACGCACACAGAGCGCGAAGGCACCTGCCCCCAGCATGCCACTCTGAGGCCTGGCACAGGGTTGGCGAGGGAGGATCCATCGCCTTCCAGGGCAGCCCTGCCGGCCAGGCCAACACAGCGGGGCACAGCGGTCCTTGGCACACAGCAGGGACTCGGCAAAGGCCAGCTCTCCCGAACACTTACTTCTCACAGTGATTTTAAAAAGATGAAAATTCCCCCAGCAGCCACGGGGACACCTACAGCTCTGCACTGGCACCTCAGGCATGAGGCGAGCACTGGGGATCCTGTCCAGGGAGCTGGGCCAGCGGCAGAGGAGTGGTCTGGGCCGTCTGAGAGGACCGGTGAGTGGGCTGGGCCTGGAGCTTTTACGGGGGGAGGGGGGTGCACAGCGGGGCCAGCCCGAGGCCTGGGGGGAGAGGGCGTCCTCAGGGGTGGAGTGACCAGTCCCTCCCCGGTGGAAGTGCTGAAATTGTTCTCATTTTAAACACTTCCCCAGCCCTTCCGAGGCCTAGGGGTCACCGCCTTGTGGATGGAACTGGGGGACCCCATCCTTGCGGCAGGTGCCTGTGCCGCTGGGTGTGCCCTCCGTGTGGGTTCCCAGCAGTGGGCTCCCCTGAAACAATGAGCGCAGGGCGGGTCAGGCACAGCCGTGACTCACCCCTGCCCATCGCTCAGAGCGGCACGAGGCCACGGAAAAACACTGGGCCAGGGCAGGGGCGTGCAGGGCGGAGGGGGCACCAGTGGCAACTTATCTTCCCCTTCCTGGCCCTCTGCCAAGACCGCCGATTTCTAAGGGTTGTGTGCGCGCGCGCATGCGTGTGTGTGTGTGTGTGTGTGTGTGTTTAAAGGATGTTTTATTGGTTTGAGAGAGGAAGGGGGAGAGAGGCAGACATGGATGTGAGAAACATTGACTGGTTGCATCCCACACTTGCCCAGACTGGGGATCAGATCTATCACCGACTGGGAATCAAACCCACACCTTTTGTGGGTATGACGCTCAGACCCACTGAGCCACCAGGCCAGGGAGAGGCCCCGGTGGAGGACCCACTGGGTGAGCACCCATTGGGTGAGACTTGCCCAAGTCAGAGCTCACTGCCCGGGAGGCGGGCTGGGCTGGAGGAGTGAGGACCTTTATCCCAACAAACTGTTGGGGTCCCCTCCCACCAGGGGCGAGTGCTCAGGAAACTCGGGCGGAATTGAGGGCACGTCACTGGGGAGGGAAGGGGAGGGGCAGCACGGTCACTGTTATAGACAGGTATGCAGTATCTGCAGCGGATGTTTTATCTTTTTTACAGCAATTCCTGTGTTTGGAGCAGGAAGGTACTTGATCCAACCCCAATTCTGCAGCACAGAAACCTTAGTCTGCCTCAGCCCGGGGAGGCAGTCCCCTGAGAAGGACCCACTAGCTGGCCAGGAAAGTGCCCCGTCTTCAGCATGGGGCCAGCTACCCCAAACCCCCAAACCGGGGCCACCCCTTAGCTAAGACCTTCCACCACCATCCCCCTCCCCGGGGAGGCCCAGGCCAGAGCAGCTGGTGGGCAGAACCTGCACAGATCTAGGCCTTTTTCATTTTCCTTTAGCTTTGTCCTCCATTTCCCAGACTGTTTTCTTTAACCTGCAAAACGAGGGAGAGTCAGGCTCCAGCCGAAAGAGGAACATGAAAACGTTTTATGGCCCAGAATCAGAGCCGCACACATTCATCGGCTGGAGTTCTCCCAGAGGGAGGCAGTGGCTGAAAGCCTCCAGTTCTGACAAACTTTGGGAGGCCACTTCCTCTCTCCCGAGCCTCAGTTTTCTCATCTGTGTAATGGGGTGATGGCTCCCACTCCTCCGGGCCTGGCACACACCGGAGCCTGGCTGCACTTCAGTCCGGGTTCCGCGCGGCCTCGGTCGGCCCCGGTGCTGGCAGGACCGGCCCGGGTCCGGGCCCGGCAGCCGCTCAGGCCCCGCGTTAGGCGGCCCCTAATCTGCCAGGGACGCAGTCTAAGCGGGTCCCCGCGGGGCCGCTGGCTCTTCTCCGCCCGCATCTCCGGCCTCGTCCGCCCGCACCGCCCTGCGCCCTGGCCCGCGGGGCGCACCACGAGCCGCCCCTCCGCACGCGCCCAGCCTTTCCCCGCGGACCCGGCCGCCACACCCTTCCCGCTGCGAGGGCCCCGGCGCCGCCACCGCACCTCGTGCTCCAGCTTGTGCAGGAGGCGGCCCCAGTACCGCTCCGGGACCCCCGACGCGCGCAGCGCCGGGCCGTGCAGCGCCGCGAACTCGGCCAGCGCGTCCTCCTCGGGCTCCGGGCCCTGCTCCGAGCTCGGCGCCGGCTCCGGCATGGGCAGCGGCCCCGCGTCCGCCTCCATGGCGCCTCCGCCGCGCCAAGCCCGGAGCCGCCGCAGCCCGCGGCCCGGCCCGCCCACTCGGCCCGCCCGCCAGTCAGCGCCGCCCCGCCCCGCCCGCGGCCCCGCCCCCTGCGGGCACCCCCCAGGCGCCCGCGGCCCCGCCCCCTGCGGGCACCCCCCCAGGCGCCCGCGGCCCCGCCCCCTGCGGGCACCCCCTCAGCCGCCCGAGGCCCCGCCCCCTCCGGGACACCCCCCCCCAGCCGCCCGCGGCCCCGCCCCCTGCGGGCACCCCCTCAGCTGCCCGCGGCCCCGCCCCCTCCGGGCACCCCCTCAGCCGCCCGAGGCCACGCCCCCTCCGGGCACCCCGCCCCTCAGCCGCCCGCGGCCACGCCCCCTCCGGGCACCCCCTCAGCCGCCCGCGGCCTCGCCCCCCCGCGGGAGCACACCCCCACCCTCCGGAGCGCACGCTGCGGGCAGCCCGGGCGCCTGGCGCGAGGGGCGGGACCCGGGACCCGAGAGCCCAGCGGGCTGTGCGCGGGCTGTGCGCACGCGTGCCTGGGGGGGGTGGAGCTTTCTCTCTCTCACGTGGCTGCCCCGCGGGATGCCGGGAGCGGTGGGAACCGGAAGAGACTCTTGAGTGTCGAAGGAGAAACTGAGGCCGGAACCGCGTGTGGCCGGGCTGGTGCCTGCAGAGCCGCCGCCGGCCCTCGGAGGGGGGGCTCCGGTCCCCAGTGTCTCACCACGTTCAGGCTGCGGATGGGGCCTGAGTGTCCTCACATTTAGGCCGGGGTGCCGATGTGCGCAGTTAGAGGGGGCGGGGGTCCTTACAAGTTGAGGTGTTGCCCAAACATTTCAAGGTGTAATTTTTGAACTTGAAAATCATTCTTTGGACATTTCAACTTCCCAAGTTCTGTTGCTTCTGTGGGGGTTCAGATGGAGCCACCCCAAGGCCACGCGGGTTATTAGTTCAGGGCGACTGAGTCCTGCGCCCTGAAGAGAAACTTCTGTCTCCCCCCTCTCCCCCGCATCATCTACAGGAATCCGAACCAGGCCTTGCCCATAAGCGATGGTGGCAGACCGCTTCCGGAAACCTGTCTGCAGGCGGGGAGGCGGCTGACTGCTGAACAGCTGCTCTTAGGGACCTGCAGGGCCTGAAGCCCCGGCGGCTTCCCTCACCCCAGCTCAGATGCCACAGGCACCCACTGCCCCTGGCTGTCGCTGAACCTCTGGTGGGTGGGGGGGTGAGGGGGGTGTCTCTGACTCATGCACTCGGGGTTCCCATGCGAATGTATTGCATTTGGTTATTTTCTCTCGCTAGTCTGTCTGTCTCTGTGAGTGTCAGACCAGTGAGAACCTCCCGGCCAGGGAGAGTTGCTTCCTCCCCCTCACTTCCAGAGAGATGCTTCCCGTTGCAACTTTGTAATAATTGCATTTTGCTAAAAGGCTCCAAGGCTGGCGTTTGTGGGGTTTTATTTTTGTGATTTGGTTGGTGTACTTTGTTTTAAACTGAACTGAAGCAAAATGTGCCATTTCATAGGACCTGTTCAAGTTGGTCTGTTGGTCTGTAAAGGCTTACACTTACGAACTCCAGCTGATGAGGGGCACAGAGAAAAACATTACTGCCCTGCGAAGGTGTTTTTTTTTTTTTTTTTTTTAATCAGCTTTGGCACACACAGTTTGTGGTTCCGTTACTCCATGAAAAGCATACTTGAAGCCCAGGTCTGTATGGCTCCGTTGGAGAGTTGTCCAATGCACCAAAGGGTGGAGGGTTCAATTCCTGATCAAAGCACATACTCAGGTTTCAGATTTGATCCTGGGTAGGGCCATGTAATGGAGGCAACCAATTGATGTTTCTTCTCTCTCTCTCTCTCATCCCCTCTTCTTTTCTCTCTAAAAAAAAGAAACCCCAAAAAACCCTTATAGAATGTATCCTCAGGTGAGGACTGAAAAAAATACTTGTAAAATTTTGACAACCATGATTTTTAATTCAATTGGTATAATTTAACAGCTTGTTTGGATGAAATTATTAACCACATCCAGTCCCAAGTGCCTTTCAGCTCCATGGGGTAATGAATTTACCAAGAATGTTAATCTGTGCTGGGCCGTGTCCCATTTTATATGGGCACTGGCGGCCTGGTGCACGGATCTGTGCACGTTGAAATTAATTAGAAGAAATTTTAATATTGCTATTCACCCTTTATAATAGAAGTGTCAACCAAATTCATGACCAACAAGGACATATTGAAACGCGCTTGCAATCGGTGCCAGAACTTCATATGTATCGCACATGTGATGTTTATATTGCCAGTGTGTGTCATATGGGAGGGGGAGGGAGGCAGCCAGTACAGAAGAAAGGGCTTCGCTGGGACTGGGCCTCTGGCCCCAACCCCCACCCCAACCCTGACCCCGGGGGGGGGGGGGGGGACCTGCCTCCCTGGGCCTGTCTCCGCCAGTAAAAGGAGTGGGTGCTGCTCCCTGAGGCCCCATGACCACAGGGCCAGTGCCCGTTGGGAAAGGCTTGCTTCCGGCGGTCATGGCGGTCATGCCGGAGGGTCAGACACAGCCCCTCCTGAGGGCGAGTTCAGGCCCTGCACCCCGGGGGGGGGGGTAGTGGGGTGGCAGGAGGGGAACCGCCTCCATCTGAGGGCAGCACTCCAGAAAGCGTCAGAGCCCAGCCCCCAAAGAACTGCTCCAAAGTGCGCCCCCGCCCGCACCCCGCCTCCCATAACCAGGGTGCCAGGCCCAGGGGCGCATTGATGAGCTGGGGAAGCAGACCGCTGGGCGTGCACTGTTGGTGGAGACGAGGGGTCGCGGTATTGAGAGGCCTTCCCTGAAGCACCCACGAGTAGAGTCTGTATTTGTATTTATATTTGTACACAGAATACTCAGATGCTCTAGTGAGGAAAGCACATCTACAGGCCCCTCCCGGCTCCTCTCTGTCCCCCAGAATCCGTGGAGCTGACCACAGGGCAGCGTGTCCTGGGCCTGCGGCCCGGGAGCCTGAGGCCAGCGTGGGGGGCCTGAGGCCGGGGGCCTGCAGTGTGGATGCCCCTCGGGCACCTTCCCCACTTACCTACGCCCTGTGGCACCCTCACCCCTTCTCTCCGAGGCCTGGCTCCGTTCTCCCATCATCCCTCCCGGCCTCGGAGTGTCTGTCACTTGAGGGGCACCTGCAGTCTCCCCGCTGTGCTCTGCCAGGGCCGCCGGTGTGGCCGGGCAGGTGCAGGGGGCCTGGCCCGGGAGCAGCAGGCGGGGAGGGGGGAGCAAGCTGCCGAAAGCAGTTTCCCAGGGGCGGCGATGGGAGCGGCGTGGCTGGGCTGGGGTCTCTGCCGGGGCGGGTCTCCCCTCCGAGGCTGGCCAGCGCTTCCTGAAGGGCAGCCCACGGCCACGTGGAGGCCCATGGAGGCCGTGGAGCTTGGCTTCCGCTGGGGGCAGGCCCCCTCACCCGCAGGGGTGCTGCGGCAGGAGCGCGGGCACGGCACTACTTGTAGGGCCGCAGGAAGCGGGACACTTTGGAGCGCAGCAGCTTGATGAAGGAGCGCGGGAACATCTCCTTGGACTCCTGGGCCGTGACCTTGAAGTAGTTCTGGGGGTGCGCCAGCACATCGAAGAGCGCCTTGATCAGCTTCTTGTCCTGTAAGACATGGCCGGCCGCGTGAGGGCGGGCTGGGCTGCAGGGCCCTGGTGCCCTCCTCTGCAGTGCCCAGGCGCCACCCTCTGGAATGCCCTGGCCGTCCCCCTCTGCAATGCCCAGGTGCCTGATGGGGGCTGCAGGGCCCTGGCGCCCGCCTCTGCAATGCTTGGAGCACCACCCTCTGGAATGCCCTGGTCGCTCCCCTCTGCAGTGCCCTGGCGCCTGAGGGGGGCTGTGGGGTGTCTGCGGGGCACGGGGGAGATGTTGGCTAGCTGGTGAGTTTCAGGAGCCCCCACTCTGTCATAAATGATTTTTACTTTTATTTTTTTAAATATATTTTATTGATTTTTTTTTTTTTTTTTTACAGAAAGGAAGAGAGAGAGATAGTTAGAAACATCGATGAGAGAGTGTCATTGATCAGCTCCCTCCTGCACGCCCCCCACTGGGGATGTGCCTGCAACCAAGGTACATGCCCTTGACCAGAATCGAACCTGGGACCTTTCAGTCCGCAGGCCGATGCTCTATCCACTGAGCCAAACCGGTTTTGGCTGATTTTTACTTTTAATTATTGAATTAAAAAACCTATTTTTATTGATTTCAGAGAGGAAAAAAGATGGAGAGGGATGTAGAAACATTAATCAAAGAGAGAATCCCGCACTGGGGATCGAGCCTGCAACTCAAGCATGTGCCCCGACCTGGTATTGAACCGTGACCTCCTGGTTCATGGGTGGATGCTCAACCAATGAGCCAGGCCGGCCCAGCTCGAATTGTTTTTTAATAGTCCATAGGGGAGCACTTGAGATCTTGCCCCCGGCATATGTCAGTTTGGCTCAAATAAACTCTTAAAATAAAAGAACGGTCCACTGGTTTTAACTTGTGGAGTTGCAGTACTCCTTCATTTAATAAGCGTTCTCCTGCAGAAGACAAGGCAAAGCAAAGACTGCCAGAAACCAGACACGGAGCAGAGAGCACGGGCTTTGGGGCCAAAGACCTGGGTTTGAAACCAGTTCCAGAACCTACTCCCTCACCAGGAAACAGCCCGCCCCCTGAAGGTAACTCCTCCGTGAGGGGCCCCTCCTCTCAGGGCTGCACAGGGCGGGGGTTGGGGGGGTGGGGGGTGAGGGGGGAAGGGAGGGGCGCGGTGGGGAGGGGAGGGGAGGGGGGGTGGAGACAGCAATGAGCGAGGGGCCATCCTGCTCAGCGGCACTCCGCCTCGGGCTTCCTCCCCGCCCGATCCCTCTTGGAGCCTAGGGGTCATGTCTAAGGGGGCGGTGGGACCGGGAGGAGACCCTCAGGAGCAGTGAGCCTGGCTGAGGTGTCCTGAGGGCCCCGCAGAGACCCCGCACGTGGCCCATGGAAGGGGCTCAGTGAAGGCAGCACCGTGCCCGGGCTCATCGTCACACTGGCAGGACCCAGCACACACGTGCGTGCAGCTTCCTGCCCTTGAGAAACTCTGTGGCCCCTGTGTGCCAGGTGCGCTGCCAGAGGCCGGGGACAGAGTGCTGAGGCGGCCCTGCAGCCCGCCACAAGGAGGTGGGCGCCCAATACTGTCTGTCACCCAGACACCGGGGCTGCAGGGCTGACGGGAAGGCCTGGGACTCTGAGTGCGACTGCTGGAAACCAAATCAGTTTCACTGAAAAAGAGATGGTGACAGGAAGCCAGGAAGGCTGGCCAACAACCTTAAGTGCTCTAACGTTAGTTGAGATTTTGTTAGCTGAAGCAGAATCTACCTTGTCCGTGTAAGTGTCTGTTATTTCCTGCCTAAAGGCCACATGTAAATTCCTGTTTCTGTTGCCTAAGATGTCTTCCCCAAAGCCTCCATAAAAGGGATGGCGGGGCCAGAGCAGGAGTAGTTCTCCCACTAGAGTGGACTACCGCCTGGCCCCCCAAATCACCAAATTGAATTTCTTCAAGTCTTTCTTCATTTGTGTGCGGCCTTCTCCAGAACCCGAACCCTGAATTGGAACTCTCTCTACGCGGCCGTGAAAGAGTCCTATACGCGACCTGGCCAGGGAGGGCCAGCGGCTGGGCGGGGGCAGAGGCTGGTGGGCAGCACTGGGGAAAGAGGCTTGGTGAGTGGAGGTCAGGGTGCGGAGGCCCAGGCCCTGCAAGCAGGCGGCGACCTTGCTGGGCAGGGGGCCAGGCGAGAGGAAAGAGGTGGCACTGTCTCCAGGACAGACTGACAGAGGCCAGGACGACCCTCCGGTTCCCACTCACCAGATGAGCCCCCGGAGGAGAGGAGGCGCTCCCAGCCCTGAGCCCTCCAGGTTTGTAACCTCCGCTCACACTGCCTGCCCGCTGGGGCCGAGTACAGGCCTGGGGCCCCAGAGCTGTAAGCTATTTCTCAGCCCTGGAGACAGGCCGCTGTCTGCAGGGGCTGAGCCCGGGGCCCGGGGCCTGGGGTGCTGTCTGCAGGGGCTGAGCCTGGAGCCTGGGGTGCTGTCTGCAGGGGCTGAGCCTGGAGCCTGGGGTGCTGTCTGCAGGGGCTGAGCCTGGAGCACGGAGCCCAGGGCGCTGTCTGCAGGGGCTGAGCCCGGGGCCCGGGGCGCTGTCTGCAGGGCTGAGCCCGGAGCCCGGAGCCCGGGGCCCGGGGCGCTGTCTGCAGGGGCTGAGCCTGGGGCCCGGGGCCCGGAGCGCTGTCTGCAGGGGCTGAGCCAGTAGACCCCTGGACTCGCCTCTCCTGTGCAGACCCAGGGTCTTGCCCTGGAGTGTCAGCTGTCTGACGCCACAGCCCCTTCGTGACAAGGTGGCCCTGTGTCTCCGGGCAGTGGATGGGACGAGGAGGGAGTCCGACCCAAAGGCGGCTCCGGGTTCCGTGGATCTAAAGGTACCCTGTCACCCTCACCTCCCGGAGGACAGGGGCTCGGAGCTGGTGAGGGACTGCCCCAGGACACCCCCGGCGGGGGCCTGCCCCCACAGGGAGCCGGTGCTGGCGCTCCTGGTCTGGAAGGACAGCCGTGCCAGCCTCCGCCCCGCCCCCGGGCCCCCTAACCCCCACCTTCCCTCACTAGGGGGGTGGGGCAGGGAGGTCCCTGGACCTCACAGCCTGTCCTGGGCCTGCACGAACCCCTTCCCAGAGGGCCGCCCGCTCACCTTCAAAATCTCCTGGTGGTTCTCCGAGGCGTAGAGCCGCCCGTCCCGGACGATGTCCTCGATCAGCTGCTGGTAGTCCTCTGCGCCCGAGGAAGGAGGCGGTGAGGGCTCCGCGCCCCGGCCCTCTCCCCGCAGCCTCTGCCCCTCTGCCAGCCACAGGCCCCCGCCTCTGCGCCTGCCTGCTCCAGCCCTCTCCCTGCAGCCTCTGCCCCTCTGCGCCAGCCACAGGCCCTCCGCCTCTGCGCCTGTGTGCCTGGCACCCGCCCTGTTCTCCCTGAGGTTTGGTGAGCTAGGAAACTCCAATTTAACCCTCAAACCCTGCACCAACTGCTCCCTCCTCAGCGCCTCGGACCCACGTGGGCCTGCCGTCCCCCAGGGGGAGCCTGAGGCGACCGATGCGGCTGGGCGGGCTGGCTGGCTGGGCACAGTGCCCACGTACCGTCGTAGGTGACGTAGGGCACCTGGAAGCCTTTGCCGCTGTTGCCCTCGTTGGACTTGAACTGGATCCAGAGCTTCCGGGAGCGGGAGGTGAAGGCGATGGGCCGCTCGTAGGTCTGGCAGGTCTCGTAGGTGGTGATGGACGTGGGCGAGGCTGGGGGTGAGGACACGCCAGGGACCAAGTGGAGTTTTCTATCAGACTCTTAGAATCCTTTTGCATCCTTGAAACTCTTAACTGAGTACATATTAAATGTCGTAGAGCACAGGGAATAAAACTCTGACCACGCAGTCAAATATCTAAGTTCTCATTCCTTTTCTCCCCTCCCTCCCTCCCTCCCTCCCTCCCTGCCTCCCTCCCTCCCTCCCTTCCTTCCCTCCTTCCTTCCCTTCCCCTTCCTTCCCTCCCTCCCTCCCCCCTCCCTCCCTTCTTCCTTCCCTTTCTTCCTTCCTCCTTTCCTTCTTCTTTCCTCCTTTCCTCCCTCCCTCCCTTCCTTCCCCCCTCCCTCCCTCCCTCCCTTCCTTCCTTCCTTCCCTTCCCCTTCCTTCCCCCCTCCCTCCCTTTCTTCCTTCCTTCCTTCCTTCCCTCCTTCCCTTCCCCTTCCTTCCCCCCTCCCTCCCTCCCTCCCTTCCTTCCTTCCCTTCCCCTTCCTTCCCCCCTCCCTCCCTTTCTTCCTTCCTTCCTTCCTTCCCTCCTTCCCTTCCCCTTCCTTCCCCCCTCCCTCCCTCCCTTCCTTCCTTCCTTCCCTTCCCCTTCCTTCCCCCTCCCTCCCTTTCTTCCTTCCTTCCTTCCTTCCCTCCTTCCCTTCCCCTTCCTTCCCCCCTCCCTCCCTCCCTCCCTCCCTCCCTCCCTCCCTCCCTCCCTCCCTCCCTCCCTCCCTCCCTTCCTTCCTTCCTTCTTTCCCTCCTTCCTTCCCTCTCTCCCTCCCTCCTTCCTTCCTCCTTTCCTCCTCCCTCCCTCCCTCCCTCCCTCCCTCCCTCCCTCCCTCCCTCCCTCCCTCCCTTCTTCCCTTCCTTCCTTCCTTCTTTCCCTCCTTCCTTCCCTCTCTCCCTCCCTCCTTCCTTCCTCCTTTCCTTCTCCCTCCCTCCCTCTTTCCCTCCCTCCCTCCCTCCCTCCCTCCCTCCCTCCCTCCCTCCCTCCGCTGCTCCTCCCTCCTCAACATGCCCGCGGCCCCTCTCTCTAGCCTCCGCACTCAGATGCCCTTCCCCACCCTCACCCCATGCCCAATGGTCCCTCTGAGCCCGTTGCCATGCCCCCTCCTCCAGGGAGCCTCCCCTCTGCCCTGGCAAACCTTCACTGCAGCCTCTCTAGGGTGTCACTGCCTTGCCACCGGGCCTCAAGGCCGGGCTCAGGCTGCACCCAGCACAGAGCCCGGGCTGAGGTGAAGGCTCGGATGTGGGGAGACCCTCCCTGAGGGCCTGGGTGCCCCCTTCTCACCGCTCCCTGGGAGCCTGCCTGCCCTGCCCTTGCGTGGGGAGAGGCTGGCTCCCTGGAGCTCAGCCTGTGTGTGAACAGCAGAGGGCAGAGTGGCAGCTGGGGGCTGGGGGCTGGTGACAAGCACGGGCAGGGCCCAGGGTCCCAGGCCGGGCTCTGAATTCCCGTGGATGGCTCTGGCCCTTGGCGGCCTCGGTCCTATGGGAACGTGGGGTTTCCCGGCTTATCAGCTGCACTGAGGGGGCGTCCCAGTGCCAGGGCTCAGCCTGCCCCTCTCCCCCGGTCTCTGCGCCGGGGCAGCCGAGGCCCCGGGAGCAGGTGCGTCTGTGCGGCTGCCTGTGTCCCCCCCCCCCCCACCGCTGCCCCGTGGCAGTGCCCACTGGGAGGAGCAGAGCTGGTCCTGGGGCACTGGAGGGCAGCTCTGCCTCGCTGGCTGCGTGGCCATCTGGGCTCACCCTGTTCTGTGGGAAGGGGCCACTCCCCACGGCCACTGACGGGGGTGACGAGCCAGGAGGCTGGGGGGGGGGAGGGGCGGGCTGCCGACCCTGGGCATCCTGTGTGCGGGCACACACTGGCCCTTTGCCCAGGCCACCCCCAACTTCAGAGGGAGGTGTCTGTGGAGGAGGGGCCGCTGCGGGTCTCACCCTGGCCCGTGTGGCAGGACCGTGTGTGCTCAGGGTAGAGACCAGCTGGACCAGGTCCTGACTCCCATGCTCAGGGCGCCCTGAAACTTTCCAGACCTTTCCACAGAACTCAATAGAGCCCGCGGCTTAGTCAGACAAGTGGATTTACACCCAGTTTGGCTCAGTGGATAGAGCATCGGCTAAAGGCCCCAGGTTCAATTCTGGCCAAGGGCACGTGCCCGGCCTGTGGGCTCCATCTCAAGGGGAGCGTGCAGGAGCAGCCAATCAGTGATTCTCTCTCTCTCTCCCTCCCTCCCTCCCTCCTTCCCGCTTCCTCTCTGAACTCAATGAGGAAGATAATTCGGGGAAAACGAACAAGTAGCCGGGGCGAAGGCGGCGAGCGCCGCGCCCGCCCGCACCTACCGCTCTTGCGCATGACCAGCACGTCGCCGCACTCGTCCTCGCTGGGCAGGAAGATCTCGGGGACCACGATGAGGATCCTGCGCTTGGGGGGCGGGGAGATGTGCCACACGCACTCGGCGTTGGCCGGGTAGTCGCCGGGGTAGTTGGGGGACTCGATGTAGCCCATGTAGTCGCCAAGCTCCCCGCCGCAGTGCTGGTCTGTGGGCGCGGGGGTCGGTCAGGCCCGCTGGTGGGTGCCCCTGCCGGGCGGGGCCCTCAGCAGCCCCGCCCAGCGCCCCAGCCCTCCCAGCCCCTCCCAGCGCCCCAGGCCGAAGAGCAGCGCCCACTTTTGCAGTGGGTGATGTTGGTGGAGCCATCGAAGTCGGTGCTGGTGCTGCCGGGGCAGGTGATGCAGTGGTTCTGGCCGAACTCGGGCTGGTAGGTGCCGACGGGGCAGCGGACGCAGCGGTGGGAGGTGGTGTTGTAGTGATGGCCGGGGGAGCAGTGCACTGGGGGGTAGAGGGGCATTAGGGGGACCTTCTCCCTGGGGCCTCCCTGCCCCCGGGGTCTCAGCAGAGCAAGGCCCTTCCCCACCGCCCGGTGCCCTCCCCCCTGTGCACAGCCAGGCAGAGTGCTCTGGCCCCCGGGGTCTGGGTCTGAGTGTGTGGGGTGTGGGGAGGAGAGGGGGGTGCAGACCGAGTCCGCCTCAAGGCCCACATCCCGCACACGAGCATGCGGGGAGGAAGTGGGGGTCGGGGTGGGGTTCCCCAAGGGCCGCTGGGAAGGGACTTGGGCTCTGGCACACAGGGATCCTGGGGGCCACCCTGCCGGGAGCAATTCTCGGGGAGCAGTGGGGTGAGTCTGGCTGGCTGGTGGGGGTTCAGGAGAGAATGGGGGAGAGGAAGTGGAGTCAGACCCTCGTTCTATGGGGCTGAGTCACAGGGGGCAAATGAGGCAGGAGTGGAGTGGGGGCACAGAGCTGGGGCTGCCGCCCTCAGAGCGAGGGCTCAGGGAACCCCTGTGTTCTCAGCACACGGGGGTGCCAGAGGGGCTCCCCAGAGGCGTGCCTGTGCCCTGAGTGGGGAGGAGTGACAGGGCTGTAGGCTGGTGGCCCTGGAGGGAGGGGGTGTCCAGTGGGTGACTGACCTGGCCCCACGCCCCTGCTGCCTCCTGCACCTCACCCGCCGCCCTGCTGCACGGAGCGCCCAGAGGAGCTGGCGGCCCCCTCACCCCCGGGGCTCAGAGTCCTGACCACAGCTGAGTGGGGGGTCGCCGTCCTGCCCAGTGTGTGTGCACAGAGCCGGTCCCCAGTGTCCAGCCCAGATGGCTGCAGACGCCTCTGACCCGGGGTGTGGGCAGGAAATGGTCCCCGAGCAGCTCGGCCAGCCTGGGGGGGGGGGGGGGGCCCTCACCTTTGGCCTCGCAGTCTTGGAAGGAGGCTGAGCCTTCGTGCTTGGTGAGCAGCCCCCCTCCGCAGGGGAAGCAGCCGGTGCGCCCAGGCTCCGGCTGGTACGTGCCCACCGGGCAGGCCTGGCAGGGCCGGAAGCCGTCAGCGGAGAAGGAGCCGGGAGAGCACTGGCCTGGAAGACAGAGGCCACGGCTCCCTCAGGCCCTGCCCTCAGCCCTCTTCTGCCCTGGGAAGGCACCGAGCATCAAGGTTGGGGTGGCTGGGGAGGGACCTGGGGGAGGAAGCCTGGGGTGCCGGAGCCTGCCACCCCCCATCTGTGGCCGTCAGGGGCTCCCGGCTGTGTGGCTCGGCCAGGCCTAGCTTTCTCCCGCCAGCAGGAAGAGAAGCTGGGTGTGTGGGGCCCTCAGTGGAGATGGGGTGTGGGGTGGTCACTTCTCTCAGAGAGACTGTCCCCGAGGGCAGGCCGCACCGGGGCTCAGCTCAGGGCTCACCCTGCGTGGCCGTGTGCGAGGCCGGGCCAGAGTGGAGGAGGGGACGCCTCCGAGCAGAAAGGAGAATGGAGGGTTCCCTGTCCCAGCGGTGGCCACTCCGAGCTCCGTGCCAGTCCCATCCCCGCTGGGGGCAGGGACTGCCCTCTGGGCAGCCTGCAGACTCAGGCTCTGTCCCCAGCACCACCCCGGGATCTCAGGCACCCTTTCCCCACCCGGGCCCTTGGGTGATGAGAGAGGCCCGTTCCACAGAGGAGTCTGAGTGGGCACCACCTGGAAAAGCTCCTTGCAAACCAATGTGCCAGCCGATGGGCCCACGGCTTTCCAAACCACCTGCAGGGCCGATGCACCGTTCCTGCCCAGGCAGGTGCCAGAGCATGGCCACGGCGATTCGAGCTCCGTGAGAGGTACGGTGACTGGGCAGCCACGAAGCCCCGGGGCCCCTGCCACAGGCCACAGGGAGCCGCAGGCCACAGGGAGCTCATGGCTGTGAAGTCCTTTCGGGGCTGCGGGGCCCAGTGCAGTCGCCCTCGCTGACCCTCTGGGCGTGGACGCCTCTGGCCCGCAGTGCACCCTGCGAGCGGCCAGGACAGCTCTGCGCGGGGCACGGAGCTTTTCCAAGTCACAGGGCTGTGCTCCGGCAGCCTCAGTGGAGGCCATGGGGCCCGCCCGGCCCCGCCCCACTCCCCCTCCTGGCTGGGCCCTCACTTGCCTCCACATTCAGACACGTTGCGGGCACCGGCCAGGCCAAGCCCGTCGCTGCTGGGGCACGGAGTGCAGCTGAGCTGGCCTTCCCTGTCCTGGTAGGTGCCCGGCGCGCACGGCACACACCGGCCGGAGTCCCCGCGGAAGTAGGTGCCGGGCTCGCAGGCCACTGCGGGCAGAGCGAGAGGCTGCTGGTAGCCGGTCTCCTGGCGCCTCAGGGCCTCCTGCGAGGACCCCGGGGCCAGACCTGGTCTCGGGCCCTTCCTGGCCGCTCCCGCTGAGGGTGCTCTCAGACCCTCCCCTCTGCCTCCCGTGGCTCCAGCGGGACCTTGTCCCCTCTCGACCCACGTCCCCTCCCTCGTGTGCCCTTCCCCGGCCACGCGGGAGGAAGGAGAAAGTGGCTGTGCCTGGCGGACTCACTGCATGTGCCGTCCTGCAGCGTCTGGCCTGTGCTGCACGTGCCCGGGCCCTCCGGGGCCTTGGCCGGCTGCTGGGCCACCTCGTACTCGGTGCCCGCCACCTGGACGGAGAAGAGCTGCCGGCTGACGGCCTTCCGCAGCGTCCTGATGGCCGCCTGCACGCTCTGCTCCGCCCGCCGCCGCCCGCAGTCCGCCTCGCAGGTGTCTGCAGCGAAGAGAGCGTCACACCCCCCACACCCTGTCCCCCAGCTGCCTCTTCCGCAGGCTGCCCTCCGCCCTCCGCCCTCCGCCGGCACCGGCACCGCACTGGGCCAGCCCTGCCGGGGCACCATGGCTGCGTCCACCTGACAGATGGGGAGACTGAGGCTCCCAGAGCTAGCGCCTGCCCAGAGCCACGTGGCAGATCTGATGGAAACACCCCCCTCCCCAGGCACACCCCCTGCTGGTGCTCCTGCTGCCGCTCAGACACCTGCCCCGGCCCCAGGACGTGCCCAGCTCCCGGCCTGGCACCCTGGTCCTCCTGGCATGGCCCTCGCTGTGAACGCCGCCTTCAGCCTCCCTGCCTGACACAGGTCGCGCCTTGCCCTCTGTGCCCTCCGTGCCCTGGCCCCTTCTAGTCGCTCTGCCTAGGTGCCAGTCCCGCCCCCCTCCGTGGCGTGAACTTTGATTTCCAGCCCTGAATCCATGGCCCTCTCTGGGCGGACTTCGGGTGCCCATTTGTTCTCAGCCCCTCCCCCTAGAGGCTCCCCGGCACTGGGCTGGAAGTGCCACAGCGAGGGGCCCCTGGTCTGGTCCCCGCACTCCAGCGCCCAGGGGGCTGGGCACACACAGCCACATGGCTGACAGCGCTCATTCCTCTCACGGCTCCCCACCCATCACAGCCAAGAGCAGGGTGTTGGCACCAGACACGAGCCAGAACCACCAGCCCCGGGAGCCCAGGGTAGGGTGCGGGTTAGTCCTCTGGCCCCTGTGAGGGCCGGAGGGTGGAGGGGCGTGTGGCATCCCTGGCCCTGAGCCCTGCTCCTCTCATGGCCCAGGGCCTCCCCTGCCATCTTGGCTCCGGGCAGTTCTGCCTGGCCTCCACCTCCACAGCCGTGTCTGGGCCGGGAGCGGCGCCACACCCACAGATCTTGCCACCCCCCGTGTGCGGGCCTCCCCGACGCCCTCCACAGCCCACGGGGACCCCTCGCCCACCTGAGGCCTCTTCCGCCTTTGTCTCCACCTCCAGCTCCGCCGTGACGTGGGCGACCTCCTTGGACGGGGACTTCCGGCCACGGCGCCTCTTCTTGGAGGAGTCACACTTGAGGGTCACAAAGGTCACGCGGCTGTTTTCTGGACGAGAAGGGGCCGTTGTGACCGGGCGGTGCGGCAGGAGCAGGCCCTCCCACCCGTGCACACACGGCCGCGTCGCCCCGGTGCACGCGGGAAGCCGAGGCCGGAAGGCCGCTGGCTCTGAGAGCCGCCTGCACCGCCCTGTGGGCTGAGGAGCGGGCCCAGGAGCTCGGCCATCTTTCCGGAGGCAGAGCAGAGCCGCCTCCCGCCGGCCCCTCCCCGGCTCCCCTGCTGGTCCCTGGCCCGACCCCCTCACTGAGAGACGCGCTGCTGAGAGAGCCCGTGCCTCCTGCGCCGGACAGGACAGTGGCAGGAAGCCCTGCTCTCGCTGACCCGGGGAGGCAGCGACGGCGGCCCCGGGGGTGCTGGGTCCTAAGCCTTCCACTTCCCGCTGGCCGCCTTCCCAAGGGGCCCCATCGCGGCCTCCGGTGCGCAGGTGTGGCCGCCGGGCTAAGGGGCCACGGGGAGCCTTCAGCTGACCCGCCCTGCTGGGCCCTGGCTCCCAGCTCCCAGGCGTGGGAGCCCGCCCCGTGTGGGCTGGTACCCGGGGGCCACTCACCCAGCAGTGGCTGGCTGGGGGCCTCCTTAGCTGGCTCCCCGCTGCGGGGCCAGAGGTGGCACTTGGCATCGCGGATCTTGAAGCGCGCCTTCTGCCTGATGGGGGCGGCGGGGGCACCTGGGGAAACCAAAGTCCCCCAGGTGGTGGCCTCTCCTGGGAGCAGGAGGTGCTGGGGCCGGGGCTGCAGAGGGAGTGCCTGGGTGTGAGGGGCTGCCCGGGGCTGGGGCCCTCCCTCCTCACGTCTCTCCCCGTGCGGGGGTGGTGGGCGCAGGCTGGAGCCAGGGGCCCTCCAGCCTGATCTTCTGGAGGAAAGGAGGGCCCGCACCCTAATCCCCACCCCAGAGCAGCTCCCGGGCCCGGGTGTGCAGGGAGTGGGCAGAGAGGAGAGGGAAGCGGGGAGGGAGGGCGGGAGCCACAGATGCCCAGACCCTGCCTCCTCGGAGCTGGACTGAGGCAGCAGCGATCACAGATGCTGAGGGCTGTGTCGTGGGTGTTAGACACTCGCAGAGGCCGTGTCACTGACCCCGCAGTCTGACGGGCCCGCTCCTGCCGGGGCAGCTGGCGGGGCCTCACTGGCACTTTGGGTGGGGTCTTCCCCGGCAGCCGCCGACTCGGGAGCTTTAGAACTTAAGGGCGCCTGAAACCCACACCCTGAATCCAGCACCTCAGCGTCACCGAGCCGCCCTGTGCTGGGGTCCAGGAGCCTCGGGGTCAGAGAGCCCTTCCACGTCCCAGCCCCGCAGCCTGCTTGCTGCCAATAGCCCAGGAGGCTCCCCTCGGGGCCGTGCCCGCCCCCTTACCCCCGGCCCGGAGCACCCGCGGGTGCGGCCTGGCCAGGGCTACCTGCGCAGCTGGGCCCGGCGCCGGGGCTGGTGCCGTTGCGCGTCTGTGGCGTCCTGCCCTGGAGGCTGGGCACCCCGCAGCTCAGGCTGTAGCTGTTCTCCGAGTCTGTGGAGAAGCGGGTGGTGAGGCGCAGCCGGTACCCCTCCTCCAGCGCCCCCGGGTCCCCCAGCCTCAGAGGGGCGAGGGAAGGTGAGGAAGGCCAGGGCCCAGTCTGCGTCAACTCCTTTCTGGGGCGAGACCGCGGGGCACACGGAGCAGGGACAGTGCGGCCGGTGGAGACCCAGGCGGCTGTCCAGGGCCCGGCCTCCCCCCTCAGGCTCCTTCCTGGGGAACCGCAGGAGCGGGGCTGGACCCGGGAAGGAGCCTCTCCCCTCCCCACCGACGGCCTGGGTTACCTGGCAGGAAGAGCGTGTGTGCCGGGCAGGCGAGGGAGCAGCTCTCCACGCCGCCCGCCTTGCTGCACCACAGCTGGGCCTGCGGGGCAGCCTGGGCCGGAGCAGGGCACCCGCCCGTGTCTGAGGAGGAAGAGAGAGGCTGGAGGGGCCCTGCCACCCCGTCCCAGGCCAGACCGCCTCAGTGGGAAGGGGCTGGGGGACGGCAGAGCCCACAGGCCCAGGATTCAGGTTGGATCCCTAGTGGGGGCGTGCAGACGGCAGCCGATGAATGATTCTCTCTCATCATGGGTGTTTCTCTCTCCCTCTCCCCCTTCCTCTCTGAAATCCATAAAAATGTATTTTAAAAACAGACTGGCAGGTCCTCAAAGTTAAACACGGCTACCCTGTGGCCAGCAGTCCCACCCCTGGCACCCACCAGGGAAGCGGAAAGCGTGTCACACGGACCCCTGCCACCAACGCAGGGCCGCGCCGCTCAGAACGCTCGGACGGGGAACTGCGCCCGAGCACCGGCCGGTGAGGATGACGGCGTGGCCGGCCGTGACGGGACAGCCTCCGGCAGCACCGGACGAGGCCGTGGCCGCAGGGCCCAGTGGTTAGAGCGCCAGCCTGAGGGCGGAGGTCTCGGGCTCCATTCCCTGTCAAGGACGTGCATTGGGTTTCAGGTTCTATCCCCTCCCTGGTCGGGGCCCATGTGGATGACAACCAATTGGTGGGTCTTTCTCACATCGATGTCTTTCTCTGTCTCTCCTCTCCCTGCTCCCTCTCACTCTGAGAAATGTCCTCACTCCTTGAGGGAGGATTAAAAAAAAAGGAACGAGGCCCTGGCAGTGGGAATCCGGCAAACACGGACGGTGGTCGCCGAGGCCTGGGCTGGAGGAGACGGAGTGACTGCCATGGGCTGGGCTTCTTTTGGAATGAAAACGCTCAGAACTGACCGGGCTGCCCTGAAAACCACACTTCATTATTTTTTAAAGCACTTTACTGGTTTGTTTACTTATTTTGCTAATCCTCACCCGAGGATATTTTCCCATTGATTTTTTTTTTTTTTTAAGGGAGAATGGGAGAGAAGGGGAAAGACAAAGAGAAGCATCAAGGCGAGAGAAACACATCAATTGGTTGCCTCTTGCACGAGTCCCGGCCAGGGACGCCCAGGCTGGAGAGGAACCTGCAGCCAGGGTACGTGCCCGTGACTGGAATCGAATCCGGGACCCGCAGGCTGACGCTTTATCCACTGAGGCAAACCTAGGGCACACTCTTTATTTTTATTTACTTATATTTAAGTACATGTTTGTTTATTTCAGAAAGGGAGACGGAGAGAAACAGCAACAATGAGAGAGAATCATTGATCAGCTGCCTCCTGCACGACCCCTACTGGGGATATTAAGCCTGCAACCCGGGCCTGTGCCCTTGACCGGAACTGAACCTGGGACCCTTCAGTCTGCGGGGTGACGCTCTATCCACTGAGCCAAACAGGCTAGGGTTCGCATCACGCACTTTAAAAAAATATATATTTTTATTGATTTTTCACAGAGAAGAAGAGAGAAGGATAGAGAGTTAGAAACATCGATGAGAGAGAATCATCAATCAGCTGCCTCTTGCACACCCCCTACTGGAGATGTGCCCACCACCAAGATACGTGTCCTTGACCAGAGTCGAACCCAGGACCCTCCAATCCGCAGGCCGACGCTCTATCCACTGAGCCAAACTGGTTTCGGCCATATCATGCACTTTAATGGGTGAATTGCATGTCTCTCAATAAAGCTGTTAATAAAAACAAAACAAAACCTGCCTTCCTTCCTCTGGTGGGCAGCACAGGGAGTGCCGGGAAGGAAGGCAGGTCCTCAAGGAAGCCTGTCGGTCCTGCAGCTCCAGTAAACACGAGCCCCCCAGGACCCCGGGCACACCTCTGCAAGCCCGTCCGCCCACCACAGCCCGGGCGGGAAGGCAGCGCCTGGCAGCCTGGCTTCTCGGGCTGGTGCCCTCACACCAGCACCAGCCACGCTTCCGAGGCCTGGCCACACGGCCCCACACGCCTTCGCCACGGCAACAGGACCGCGTGCTCCGCTCAGTGTGACAGGCCTGGCAGCGGGGAGGGTCTGACTGACTGATTTCCAGTACCAGCAAACACTAGGAGCGCCCAGCTGCCAGGGAGCAGGCCAGGCCCCCTTCCTGCTCGGCCTGCAGCACACACACTCCAGTGCGGACAGCCACACAGACTGCGGAGTGGCCCGGCCATCGTGCCTGGGTGCAGCAGCGGAAAGGAGAGGGGAGGCATGGGGGGGGGGGTGCGGGGGATGGGAGGATCGGATGGTGCTGAGTAAGGAGCCTCCATCACAGGGGCGTGCACCCCGCTGTGCTCAGGGAAGGACACCGGGAGCCTGGGAGGGGAAGGTCGTCAGGCGGGCAGCGGCCTCTGCCATGCAGGAGTCCCGGTTGGCTCCGAGCAGACAGACTCAGGGCTGCAAGGCTCGCTGGCCGCCCTGGGGGGGGGGGGTGTCCCCACACCCAGAGCGGCCGGGCACAGACAGTGGCCAGCAGGTGCTGGTGGAGCCAGTGCGTGTGGGGACTCTGGAGGAGGATCCAGCACAGCGGAGGGCGGGGATCTCTGCGCTCGCTCTGGGAGGCCCTGCCTCACCCTGCGGGGCTGGCAGTCTGGGCGGGGGGGGTCTGAAGAGACCCGGCACTCCCTGTGCTGCCCACCAGGCTCTGCTGCTGCTGCCCCCGGAGCCCCACCCGACCAGCTTTCTTGGCAGGACAAGGGGGAACCGCGGCCTCCACTCCCTCCCTCTGAGCCTCCTGCTCCTCCTGAGCCCCCGGCTGCACAGCTGAGCCCAGGTGCCCAGGTCTGTCTGTGCTCCGCTGGCCCCTAGCTCTGCCGCTCACTCTGGAGGCCTCGTTCCCACCAGCCAGGGGCCGGCAGCAGAGGCACCTGCCCGGCACCTGCCTACATCACTGCCTCTCCCTGCCTACCAGGCACGGAACAGAGGGGCAGGTCCCAGTGATGCCCACCCCAGGGCTCCTGCCCAGCGCACTCACCCCAGGGGACTCACCCACGCAGTCCTTCCGGTTCCAGTGGAGCCGCCTCCCCGGGGGGCAGACACATTGGAAGCTGCCCTTGGTGTTGACGCAGCCCTGGTCGCAGCCCCCGTTGCTCACGCTGCACTCGTCCACGTCTGCAGCACAGGAGGGGGGAGGGCAGGAGGGTAAGGCAGGAGGGTAAGGGCAGGACCGCCAGCCCCAGCCACCCCCTCGGAGCAGGAGGGCTAGGAATCCCCTGACCCTGGCCTGACACCGTCACTGTGCACAGACCCGGGCTGCACACATTGCACATACAAGCATGCACACACACGTGAGCACACACACCGACACCTCCCTCCTGCCCAGACGGGGCAGGCAGAGCAGTGGCACCAAAATCAAGTTCCGTCAGGTCTGTGGGGCAGGAGCACTGGCCCGGGGACCAGGCGGCCTCTTCTCACTGTGGGGCTGGGGACAGGCCCTTCCCAGCCGCCTCCTGTACCACGGGGCCGGCAGGGAGAAGTCACCGGAGCCCCTCCTCCTCAGACCGCCCAAGGCCAACAGCACGCTGTGCGGGAGGGCTAGGCTGCAGTCACACTGGGTGCACGACTGTGAGCACCCCGGCTGCCGGCATTTGGGGAGCGGCCGGCCCAGGGAAGCTGGTGGCCAGGTTTTGGGGAGTCCCTGCAGCCTACCCCAGGTGCCGCCCCAGCACCAGCTGTGCCCTCACGGCTGCCCAAGCACAGGGAGGGGAGACACCCAGGCCACAGGGACACGTGTCAGACGTCTCCACCTCCCAAGTCACTGAGCCTCCTCTTCCTCTGTGCCCCGCCCTGCCTGGGCTCTGGCGGCTCTGGCTCCCGTGTCTGGTGCCCGGGTTCACGCTTTTAAACACGTGGCAGCCACAGCAGTCCCGGTGCACGAACTTGGCCATGTCCCAGGCTGATTAAAGCTCCCACAGGGATAAAACCCAGTGTCCTCGGGGCTCAGGCAGCCCTGCACCCCGTCTGCACCTCCTGGCCTCACGGCTGCCTCCAGGTCTCTGCCTCAGGCCTGCACACACGCTGAGCCCTCTGCCAGGCTCCCCTCATCCTGAGCCAAACGCTTCTGTGTGGCCACATCCCCTTCCAGACTGTGGCCGTACCCAGGCCTGTGCCCACGCCTGGCCCAGGCTCAGCCCCGGTGGGTACTTGCTGCCCCTCCCTGTCCTCCCGCCTCTCCTCTGGCTGAGCCCTCTGCCCACGGGTCCCCAGCCTCGCCTGGCCCCCAGCTTGTCAGGGTGGGGGGGAGGGAGGGGGAGGGTGCGGTGCGGGGGCCGGCGGCGCGTGCCTCGGGGGAGGTGGCCGTGGAGGGCGGGCGGGCTGCAGACCTCCGCAGTGGGTCGTCCCGTAGAGCGAGTAACCGCGGTGGCACAGGCACTGGAAGCTGCCGGGCGAGTTGATGCAGATGTGGTCGCAGGTCCGCGCGAAGGAGCACTCGTCGATGTCTGCGTGGCCACGGGGCGTGGGGAGCGTGTCAGGGTGGGCGGAGGGGCACGCTGCCCCCGGCCCGCACAGCGCACAGCCCCCGGCCTCCTGTCGCCGCCCCCTTCCCCGCCACCTCGCGTCTCCTCTGGAGGCGGGCAGGGCAGGAACACTCTGGATGGAAGAGCTGTGGTTTCTGCCCTTTAACACCCCACGGCTAACTGCGACTAGGACTGGCTGTTTATTTTTATTGATTTCAGAGAGGAAGGGAGAGAGAGATAGATATCTTAATGAGAGGGGATCATTGATCGGCTGCCTCCTGCACGCCCCCAGTGGGGATCAAGCCCACAACCCGGGCCTGTGCCTGACCGGGAATCGAACTGTGACCTCCTGGTTCCTAGCTCAATGCTCAATCATGAGCCCTGCCGGCTGCACTGGTCTGTAACCCACCCCTGCAGGAACCTGATGGGGCTGAGGAGGCAGCTGAACGGGGGCAGGAAGCCAGGCCTCCTTGTTGCTGACTAAAGTATGTTTTCCCATCGCCCCCAAAGGCCCCTTGAGGAGGTAAGGACAGCCGCACAGACAGACAGGAGCAGGGGAGCAATATGCTAGCCACGAGGGGCAGTACGGTGGCCTGGACAGCAGCGGAGTCTGAGTCCGAGGTTCCTGGCAGCCGGGGTGAAAAGGGAAAGTGCTGCTGCTGGAGATGAAATAAACCTCATGCTCACAGGACAGGGCTGAGCTGCTGAGAACTGAGAACGGCTCCTGGGGGACAGGTGAGGGCGCCTGCTGCTCCCGGCACTGCAGATGGAGTTCGTTCTCCGAATATGTTTGCTCATGTGACTGCATGCATGTTCATAACACGTGTGTGTGTGTGATAACACTGGTGCTGGTGCTGTGGGCGCTCACAGGAGACTGTGATCTCTGGGTGGGGGTCAGAGGGCCGATGCTGTGGCTTCTGGGCCAGTTTGCACTGAAGGAGTTCGGTGGGGAAGGGTGCTGCAGGCACAGGTGGGAGGAGGCGGCACAGAGCACCCAGGGGACTGGGAGGAGCTCAAAGGGGCTGGGGAGGTGTCTGGGGTCCCCATCCCCAGGGCCTTGAGTGCCAAGCAAAAGCACTCAGACCTCTCCCTGCTGGGGCTGGGGAGCCCAGGGTGGTGCGGGGGCAGGCCCGAGAGCAAAAGCACTCAGACCTCTCCCTGCTGGGGCTGGGGAGCCCAGGGTGGAGAGCGGGCTGCGCGCGGGGATGACGCCAGGGCCCCAGGCCTGGAGAGGAGGCTGGAGGAGGCTGGAGAGACCAGAAGCAGACATGTGGTCACCTCCTCTTCCTCCGCCTTGGCAGCTGCCCGCCTCCCTCTCAGGGCAGCTGGGGATGCAAAGTCAAGGGCCCCCTTCTGCCCCCACAGGGCAGAGGGAGAAACAAAGCCGCGGGGAAGCTGAGCTCCAGACACCCTGTGCGCTGCGGGAAGCCCTGGCCAGGCTGGCTGAGCCCCCAGGGGGCTGGCCCGGGTCCCCCTCACCTCTCAGGCCACGAGGGGGACCTCCGCCCCCCTGACACGCCTCCTTGAACTCTCCCTGTGGCCACGGGGCCAGGCTCTGAGCAGCAACAACAGAGGAGCTGCAGGCCCCACAGCCAGATTCGGCCACGCGTGGACGTGGAATGACGAGCCTGTGACAGTCACCTGACGGGACCTGCCACGCCCCCACCACTCAGGCTTCCCTGGCCCGGCCCTCGGCACTCCCCGCAAAGCTGCCCCAGCCCACGGCACTCCCCCTGTGGTCCCCAGGCTCCCTCGGCCAGCAATGCCACGTTCTGGGTGGGCTTACCTCCCTGGTTCCCGGGGAAATGCCTTTTTCAAGCATTTCACCCACGTCCCATCCCCGGAAGCCCCCTGCCCACGCTCTCCCCGCTCACGCCCTGGGCTCCTGCTCAGCCAGGACGCCGCTGGGCTTACCCCCGGCTCTGACTCTTGGCTTCTGCCCAGATTTCTCCTCCCAGGACCTCGCTCCTAGCAGGGGCCGGGACCCTGTAGAAGGACCTCGGAGAGCACCTGCAATGTGACGCTGCTTCCACCAGGTGGCAGCACTCTACCGCTGATGTTCTCTGCTACCCACTGGCTGTGGCCCTGGGACACTGCTCCTGGGGCCCCACTGCTCTCTCCCTGGGTCCCGGAGTCATAAAGGACGGGGCGGGGAGGGCAGGAGCACATGCTAAGGACCCAACGCCACCTGCTCCTCCCAGAGCGGACAGCCGGGGGGGAAGGCTCACCTTGGCACGTCCGCTCGTCGCTCAGCAGCCGGTGGCCCTTGCGGCAGCCGCACTCGAAGCTGCCCACGGCGTTGCGGCAGGAGTGGTCGCAGCCCCCGTTGTTGGCCAGGCACTCGTCGATGTCTGTGGGCCGAGTGCGGGCGAGGAGAGCGGGCTGCGCGCGGGGATGACGCCAGCACCGCCCTGCCCTGGCCTGCCTGTGCCCCTGCCCAGGCTGGCCTCAGTTTCCCCACTGAGCACAGGGACGGGGTCCCAGCTCAGCAGTGGGGTCTGGAGGACGGGGACACCACTCGCCCTGGATGTGGCCATTGTGTGCTGTTGGGCAAGGGCCCGGTGTCCTCTCACCGCCCGAGGGGGCAGTGCAGGGCAGGGAGGCCCGGGGCAGGCGGCTCCTTCCGATGGTGTGACCCTGACGCTCGCTCTGCAGGACCAGGGTCAGAGGCACCTCAGGGGTAAGAGCGTGACATCGATCAGCGCTCAGGGGACTGGCAGCGCCCGCTGGTGGGGGTGCTGCGGGCGCAGCGCAGCCTGTGGTCCTGGGACTGATGGTCCTTCTGCCTCTTCCTGCGGCTCCCACCCCCCCCCCCCCCCCCCGCCTGCCTGCTGACCTGAGCTCTTCTTCACTCAGTATCCGATGAGTGTGGCTGAACCCCCAAGGTCCCTGCCTGCCCCCACGCCTCCCAGCCCAGCCCAGCTCCAGCTCAGCCCCAGACCCAGCCCAGCCCAGCCCCAGCCCCAGCCCCAGCCCAGCCTCAGCCCCAGCTCAGCCCCAGCCCCAGCCCCAGCCCCAGCCCCAGCCCCAGCCCCAGCCCAGCCCCAGCCCAGCCTCAGCCCCAGCTCAGCCCCAGCCCCAGCCCCAGCCCCAGCCCCAGCCCAGCCTCAGCCCCGGCCCCGGCCCCAGCCCAGCCCAGCCCAGCCCCAGCCCCAGCCCCAGCCCCAGCCCCAGCCCAGCCTCAGCCCCGGCCCCGGCCCCAGCCCAGCCCAGCCCAGCCCCAGCCCCAGCCCCAGCCCCAGTCCCAGCCCCAGCCCCAGCCCCAGCCCCAGCCCCAGCCCCAGCCCCAGTCCAGCTCAGCCCCAACCCAGCCCCAGCCCCAGCCCCAACCCCCAGCCCAGCCCAGCCCAGCCCCAGCCCCAACCCAGCCCAGCCCAGCCCAGCCCCAGCCCCAGCCCCAGCCCCAGTCCCAGCCCCAGCCCCAGCCCCAGCCCCAGCCCCAGCCCCAGCCCCAGTCCAGCTCAGCCCCAACCCAGCCCCAGCCCCAGCCCCAACCCCCAGCCCAGCCCAGCCCCAGCCCCAGCCCCAACCCAGCCCAGCCCCAGCCCCAGCCCCAGCCCCAGCCCAGCCCCAGCCCCAGCCCCAGCCCAGCCCAGCCCCAGCCCCAGCCCAGCCCCAGCCCCAGCCCAGCCCCAGCCCAGCCCCAGTGTCCTGCGGAGACCTCCACGGGCACCTGCGGGGATGGCAGGCTCTCCCTCCCAGGCGGCCTGAGCTCCGGGTGCGAGCTTTGCTCGGGCTCTGGCAGCTGGCAGGGGTTGTCAGGGACCCTGCCTCTGAGGTGTTCCCCTGGGGCCCTCGGCCCCCATGCCGGTCGCGCTCCAGAAGGCCCCGCAGTGAGAACCGGAAGAGCTGGCTTCCAGCACAGGCACAGGCACAGGCACAGGAAGCAGACGGAAAGGACGCTCCACGTGGGCCTCCGGCCTCTGAGCAGCGCCCACTGGGCCTGACCTGAGTCGAGGCCGCGCCTGTCCCGCGCCACAGGCCCTCCCTGGGATCAAGGTCACTATGCCCAGGTGCCTGAGTCCCGCTCAGGACACTGTCCGTCCAGCCCCTCTCTTCCCGCAGCCTCCGGAGAAGGCAGGCCAGAAGGCAGCGAGGCCTGCCCAGGCAGCCACTGCCCCTCCCCTGGGGATTATGGGAAGACGGGGATCGCTAGCTAGAAGGTTCTAGCAAAGAGAAGGCCCACCTCAGCCCTGCCCCGGCCCTGGCCCGGCCCGCTGTGTGATCCTGAGCCTCAGGTCCCATGTCTCGGGTGAGACCGGCCCTGCACGTGGGCCTGCCTCTCAGGACGCCTCAGGCCTCTGGAACCCGTGCCAAGCCTCCCCATCCAGACCTGTTGGCTACAGGCTGTCATAGCAACCAGACATGCGGCAGGAGGCATGTTTGCTCGGGCCAGGCCGGTGCAGCCGGTGCAGCAGGCTGCGGGGTCACCGCCCGGGAAGCAGCCCCGGCTGCAGCCAGGGACACGGCGAGGGAGCCTGGGCACAGATGGCTCCTCCACCTTCTTTCTGACATGGGGCATCTGGTGGGGAGTGGGGGGTAGGTGGGTGGGTGGAGGGGCAGCTCCTCTTCCCACTTCCTGCACCTCTAGGCTCCCCTCCTCAACTGTGCCCCCCAGCCCTCGCCAGGCGGCCAGAGTCCCCTTCCTGTCCGTGGTCTCTTGGGGCCTCCGCTGTCTCAGAGGAGGGCCGGGCCCCCTGCCTGGTCTCTCTGCCCGCGGTCCTGTCTGGGCAGCCCGGCCCCGGGAGCCTCTCAGTTAGCTGCCCTGTCACCGGCCTGCCCTCTGGGCTATGGGGGGGCCTCCAGCCCGGGGGCAGGAGGATGTGTGAGGCCCCTGTCAGGAGCCCAGGGCCTGGCACAGGCTGGCACAGTGACCGCCCAGGGGTGCGCACTGGATGGGTGAATGAGTGAGGAAACGAGGGAGTTAGCGGGGCTGAGAGGAGGATGGGGTCTTGGGCCACCTGCTGGAACATTCAAATGCATCCATGCTCGAGGGCCAGCACTGTGTGTGGGGAGGACGCAGCTCGGCACCCAGAGGCGTGCGGGGGAAGGCTCTCAGACGGGAGCAGAGGGAGGAGCTGGGCTGGAGGCAGAGGCAGGAGAGGGAGGAGAGGGACACGGTGGGTGGGTTTTCTGTTCTGGAAGCTGCTGGGGGAGTGGCTGGTGCCTGAGGAAACCCGGGCTCAAGCAGTTGAGGCCCAGACCCACTCCTCCCGGAAGGACCAGCTAGCAGGACCCCTTCCCAAGGTCACGTGGGTGCAGCCTTGAGACCGGACGCTTGAAACAAAGTGAGGGCTTGGGGCGAATCCTCTAGAATAGTGTTTCCCAAACTTTTGACATATGTGTGCCCTTCTATAATTTTCGTTACGCTGAGTACCCCTTGTCCTCATGAGAACGTAGAATTAGGCACAGCTAAGCACAGTGCAGTGCATATCCCCACCAAACTCCGTGCAACCCGTACCCCCACCAAACTCTTCCCGTGCCCCTGGGGGTGCGCGGACCGCACTTTGGGAAACACTGCTCTCACTAGAACCCCCTTCCCCACGCCGGCCTCCACCTGCCCTTGCCACCTGACCTCTAGCCATTTGCGTGACGGCCTTTCTGGTTCCGGAAGACACGGCCCCTCTGAGGCCGGTCCCCTGACGTGCCCTCCGGGCCTGGCCAAGCCCAGGTCTGCACGCTGACCGAGGAGCAGAGGCCAGGGCCAGGGCTCGGCTGTGCGCCGAGCTCCAGAGCACCAAGCCCTGGGTGTGGGGTTTGGTTTCCAGGTCCCTGCCATGAAAATGTTAGGATGTTCTTACCCCACATTCTAGACTAGTCCACGACCCCTAAGTCCAAATGCACCAGACAGCATCCAGACCAGCCTTCCCCTCACGGCCCCGAGCCCAAGCCAGTCCCGGAGTCTGGGTGGCGGCGGCAGCTGCCTCACTCCCTTCGGGACCTGCCCAGGGACCAGCAGCGGCCGCCCCTGCCCAGGAGCCTTGGGGCCTCACCAAGGTTCAAAGGCTGAAGGGCCGACCCCTTCCCCGGCCGCAGGCCCCGCACCATCTGGCCTCCCCATCCCCCTCGCCCTTCCCAGACCTGGGCGCTCCCTGCCTCTGGGACCTGGAAGCCCAGCCCCGGGCGGCCCCGTGCCCTTGGAGGCGCTGCCCGAGCACACCTCTCCCTGGCCTCTGCCTGCTCACGCCCAGGTCCGGCCCCTCCGCCCGGCCTCCAGTTCCCGCTGGACTTCTGGGTTCACTGATCCCCGTTACTGTAAAACACGAACATCTGCCTTCTGCTCTCAACAGAGACCTCAGGAACGGACTGTGTCATCCCCTGTCTCCCAGCTCCTGCACCAGGAGGGGCCAGGAAACCCGTCTGGGACCCAGGGAGCGGGCACTTCCTGCCCCCGGGGCGGTGGGGCTGAGCAGGCCCGGCTCCTCCTGTGCCAGCAGACAGGTCCTTCAGCTGAGGTGCACGCCCCAACCGCACTCCTCCAGGGACCAGGACGGAGGACCCGCAGACAATCCCACCTGGAGGAGCAGCCCTGTGCCACGCAGTCACAGCTCTGGGGGTGAGGACATGTGACACCAGGCCCCTTGGGGGACCACGTGGATCGGGAGGCCAGGAAGGCACCTGCCACCCAATGGGCACCCAGTTCTTTGATAGGAGAACCCCAGTTTTGTGCCCAGGACCTAGAGGTGTGTGCGGGGGAGCCAGCATTCCCTGGGACGCTATGGGGGCGAGAGCGTTGAGCCTCCCTCTGCTCAGCCCGTCCCCCAGACATGCAGGCCACAGCTTAGCTTCCCGGTCCCGTGCCCACCCCACCGGCTGGCATCGCAGGTCCTGCCCCGCCGTGGCTAAGGAGTGGAGCGGGCACTGCCCGGCCCCGGGCTGACCTTTGCACGTCTTCCCGTCAGGCTGCAGGGCGAACCCCACGGGGCAGCTGCACCGCACGCCCGTGGCTGTGTCCTTGCACGTCCGGTCGCAGCCTCCGTTGTTGACGGCACATGTCTCTGGGGAGGGAAAGAGAGAGCTGCTCAGTCTCCTCGGACAGACGCCACCTCCTCTCCCCACCCAGGTGGAGTCTCCTGAGACAGGAGACCAGAGTTCCAGTCCGACTCCGAGACCCTCCAGCTGTGGGGCCTAGCCGAGCCTCACGTTCCCCATCTGTAAAATGGGAGAACGGCACCGTTTCCGTGGGCTGCATGATGGCAGTGGATGGGACTATGTTTGCAAACTGCAGAGGACCGGTCTTGGTAAAGGTACTGCCAACAGGCCCAGCCCCCTGCTCCTGGGGGCCAGTGCCTATGGGCCTGGCTGGTCTCTAACACCCGGTCAGATTCCGCAAGCCTGGCCCGGCCTGGCCCAGGCGCCCAGCCCAGGCCAACGCTGGCTAGGGCTCCCACCTGCACCCAGCACCCCTGCCTGTGGCCCCGGAGCCCGGGAGGCTTGCAGAGCGCGCACCACCCATCACCGCCATGAGGCCGGCCCAACATCTGTTCTCACTGAGCGAGAGGCCGCGGGCGTCTGGTTTCTGTCCACTTGAAGCTTGTCTAGGGCTTTTTTCCTCTTTTGCAAATTCAAAGGAGCTGGAGTGGCTGTGGCATAGCTGAGGTCACAGACCTGTCTTGTGGTGAGAGTGATCCTGCCCAGGCCTGCGGGAGGGGCCGCAGAGCCAGGTCGCCGGGCGCAGGTGGCCCGCACACGAGGAGCCTGGCTCCCGGGCCTCGGAGCCTCCCCATCTGGGTTTCTTTCAGCATCCGGCCGCTTTGATCTGATGGGAACTGTGCCCGCCCAGGCTTCCCTCTTTTCTTGGCTGCTGGGGAGCAAGGAGCCAATGGGCTCCTCATTCTTTTATGGCCGAGATGCCCTGCCTGCCGGCCTCAGCTTCCCCTGGGGGCCTGGCTGGGGCCTTTCCCCAGGCCCCCAGTTCCGTCTGTCTGCCAGTCAGTCCATGGTACCTGACTCCTGCCAGCTGCTTCGGGGCCGCTGCGGGAGTCTGGGATGAGAGTGGGAGTGGTGACTGAGTGAATGTGTGCCCCAGCTGCCGCGAGTCCCTGGCACTACCTAGACCAAGTTCGTGGTGCATTCCCTTTGAACTTCAACTTGTGATGGGGGCTGTGCAGGAGAGGAGGAAATTGACTTGGCCTCCTGTGTGCGTGGGGTGGGCATCTGGGCTCTGCAGGGTGGCCTTGGTCTCCTGAGTGTGTGGGGCTGGGCATCTGGGCTCTGCGGGGTGGCCTTGGCCTCCAGTGCGTGGGCTGTGCATCTGCGGGGTAACCATGGGGGGCTGCCTGAGCAGAGGCTGCCAAGCCGTCTTCTCAAGGCTGAAGTCCACATGATGGGACGAGCTGTCCCTCCCGCAGAAAGGCGAGTGTCCTGGCCCTGGCCTGCCCGTCAGTGTCTCCACACCCCGAGCCCCTGCAGGTGTGGCAGCTCGGGAGCTCGCTGTCCTGTGCGCTGGCCCCAGGTTTGTGATCCTGAGACAGGGACTGGCCAGACAGACTTCCGGGGTCTCATAGGCCCTCCCTGGCTCTGGAGGTCCCAGCAGGACCGGAATCTTGGCCCGCCAGAGCAGAAGGGGCTTCCAGAACCTGCTGGCCTCCTGCCCACGGATGGATAGAGGCCCAGAGGGCGTGAGGTCAAGTCTGAGTGGCCACCCACTCTCTGGACCCCCAAGCAGGCCTCTCCCCTGCCCTGTGCACACCTTCAGTCTCCCGTATTGCTCAGTGGTTGGTGCCAAACTTCAGGTTTTAAGCCAGGAGCTCGGGGTTGATCACCCCTTCCCACAGCTCATTATGGTGGGTCACTTACACCAGGCCCGTCTCAGCCTCCATCCCCCTCGCTCACAGCAGCTCTGCGAGAGGCTGCTCACCCTCTCTTTCCTGGTAGGAGGTACAGAGCGCCCTCTACCTTCTTGGCAGGGACGGTGCAGAGCGCCCTCTACCTTCCTGGCAGGGACATGCAGAGCGCCCTCTATCTTCCTGGTAGGGACATGCAGAGCGCCCTCTCTTCCTGGTAGGAATGGGCACCAGGGCAGCGCGGCCAGGAAGTGGCAGAGCAGGTGGGACCTGCTGGACTAACACCAGCCCATCTGATGGCCTCAGTCTCCACTGGCCGCAGCCCCAGAACCCCCATCGCCCAAGTATACACTGGCCTCCATCCTGCTGCAGGGCCCCCATTGTCATCAATGCTACATCTGTCCCCACCCGAGAGGCTCCCTGCCACCTTCCTCCACATCTGCTCTTACTGCTGCTCCTGGGCCCAGCTCCAGTGCCCTCCTCAGTGGCCTCCCGACCTCCCAGCGGCCCCTCCTCCTCCGGCCCCGTGAGTGTGGCCAGGCCCTGCCTCCCGGAGTCTGCGTGCCCTGAGGACGTGGAGATGGAAAGCCAGGGCGTGCAAGTCGGCTCACAGGTGAGCGTGTGAAGGTTTACTCGTGTTATTACTCATTACTGTGCTGTTTTCCACATGAACTACTGTCAGCTGACCTTGGCCCCTGGATTTACTGCAGGCTTTGCGCAAGGCCCAGGCAGAACGTGGCCTGGCAGTGCTGTGCGAACTGCCACAGCTGTGCCTGTGCCGCTGTGGTGCCATTTCCCAGAACCCTGCCTGCGGAGTCTCAGCCAGTTCCCAGGCCCTGCTCGGGGCTGGGAGCCAGGCCTAACACCGGGCTCAGAGGCCCCAGCCCCATGGGCAGCCAGTGGGTTCATTCCTCTGCCCAACCAACAGACTGGCAGCGACACGCTAGTGCTGGGCAGAGAGGAGCTAGAGACGAACCTGACCCTGCCCCAGGCCTCAGAGGTCAAGGCTCTGCAGGGAGACAGGCCTGGGACCTTGCCTTCCTCACGGAGTCTGTTCACCTCCTATCCCTGGACCCATCCCCCACACAGACCCACCCCACTCTCAGGCTGCAGTCCTGGCCTCCACTACCGCCCACAGTCCCTCACCCCCACGTCACTCTCAAACAGCCACCAGCATGTCCCCCGGACCCAGCTCCACACACAGGCTCCTGGGCAGGTCACCCCGCACCCTACCCTAGGGTGCATCCTGGTGAGCATGCGGCGCTGGCGCTGTCCTCAGCCTGGTGCCCAGGGGAGCCGTGTGCCCTCTGTCCAGCCCTCAGCTAACTTGGCCAGCAGTGCGGGCAGCAGCCTGGGGCCCTGCTCGGGCCGTGTGCTGTGGGTCGGTTTTTGGCGGGGAGCCGTGGGAGCCCCAGTGGGTTACGATGTCAGGGGCAGTGACCTCTGATGGGCCTGCCTGGGGCGAGGGGCTCACACCGGCGCTTGGATAGCACAGCTCACCCAGTAGGGCTGCAGCAGAGGGTGGGGCAGGGGCGGGAGGGGGCTGGCGGAGCCTGCAGACCTCAGCGAGGGTCCTCCCTTTGGTCCAAGGGTCCTGAACAGCCTCCGCACCCCCGCCCGCCCGGACCCAGCTTTGTGGAAAAGCAGGAGCAGGAGCAGGAGCAGCGGCAAGCCCTCTCCCTGCCTCCGGGCCCTGCCTCCACGCTGCCCACTGAGAGCGGGGTGCTGAGGGCAGACACGGGGGCCGTGCTGACAGTCCTTGGGAGGAAGGGGCAGAGTCCCAGCCTCGGCTCGTGAGAGAAGCAGCCCCAGGAAGATCGCCTCTCTGAGCCTTGTGTCCACGTCAGCCACACTGACGGGGCCCTCGGGGTGCCGGAACACGGACATGGGATCACACGCCTATCTGTGCCCTTCCCAGCCCTTCCCAGGCCAGCCCAGCCCAGCCCAGCCCAGCCCAGCCCAGCCCAGCCCAGCCCAGCCCAGGTGGCCCAAGTTGACAAGACAGCGCCATCCAGAGAGCCTGCAGAGAGCGGCTTCCGCCTGAGCTAGCCACCTGCCTGTGCCCGGAGGCGAGTCCTGGGCCCTGCCAGCCCATGTCCCGCCTAGAAGCAGGGCTTCCTGCCCTGGGCTTCAGGGTTCACAGACACCCCCAGCCAGCCCCTCTGCTTCTCAGAGCACCACTCCCAGCACATGGGGCGCCTCCCTCCCGGGGCCTACCCTCCTCCCTGGCCCCTGGGGGTTCATAGGATGGTGAGACAGGGTGACCTCTCCGGTCCTGACCCCTGGCCCCGTAACAATGAGGATGACCCGATGCCAGCACGCTGGGCTGAGCGCAGGGCAGCGTGCCCTTGGGCGGCCAGGGCACCCAGTGAGCCTGTTTCCTCACCTGAGACACGGAAACGCACTGCCTGGCCGCCCTGGCCCAGGCCCCGGCCGGTGTCAGTGCCCTGGGAAGGCGGTGGCCGCCCAGCGACCTGCAGCCGCGCTCCCGGGGCCCAGCAGAGGGCGCTGCTGGCCGGAGCCCGCGCAGCAGGATGAGGAAGGGGGCGACTTCCCCACTGTGGGGGCTGGAATTAGTGGGGGGCAATCACCCCCCCCCCCACTGCCCTGAGGGGCGCAGTGTCCAGGGCGCCTCCTGGAGTCTGGGTCCAGCCCAGGAGCAGTGCTCAGAGGGAAGGGGACATTGTGTGGACTCCCCGACAAGAGGTGCCGGGGGTTCCCATGGAAGAGCGGCCAAGGCTGGCAGCCCAGCAGGTGGGGCTACTCACGAAGTGGGGGGGAGGGGGGCTAGGGGCCAGGCGGTGCTGAGTGAGGCCTGACCTCACCAGTCCCCCTTCCCGGGGGCAAATCTCCCAAGTATGCAGTGAGCAGCGCGGGCGGGATGCCCCACGGCCCCGCCTGAACCCAGACGTGGCTTCTCTCCGGAGGGAAGGGCCTGTGAGGACCATCAGGCCGCCCGCAAGCCTGTCCTACACACACGCTCTCCCTGCGCCTGCACTGTGCTGGTCCCGGGACCCTGACTGCCAACCGGCCTGGACTGCTCCGCACACGCAGAGGCCACCTGACGGGGTCTCTGCCATAAACACACAAAGGGATACACGGGTTTGATGAAGGGCAAAATTTTAAAGAGGAAAAAGTGGGTTCATATCTGGAGTGGAGCCCCCCACACTCACACATGGCACGCGTGACCCCACACATGTGGGCAGCCCGCCCACACACACACACACACAACCTTTAGGCCTGCACACACATAGCCCGACACGCCAGCACCACGCAGACCCCCGCACGCCAGCACATACCACACACGAGCACACGTGCAAAGGTGCGAGGACAAAAAGGAAGTGGAAGAAAAGTGTTACCCATGAGGAGCCGCCGTTTCACCCGCTTGTCCACATCAGCTACTGACGTGGCATTGAACTGAGAGCGCTCAATTGCAGCCTCATCCTTCTCTAAAACACAAGTAAGGGACAAACATGGAGCCACCGGTTAGTGACAGCCCGCTTCCCGCGCCCAGCAGCCTTCCGCGTGGCGCACACAGCCAACACATGCAGGCCAGCGCGGCGTCCTCGCCACGGGGCTAACCCAGGCCCCTCAGGTGGGTGTTCAGGGCAGCAGGGCAGGGCAGGGGGTGTGAAGAATGGGGGTGACCACAAAGGGACACGGTGGGACACAGAGCCCACACGCACATACAGGAGGCAGCTGAGGTCAGAGCAGACAGGATGCATCTGCGGGGGCCACAGAAGCAGACGGCACCCCGCAGAGCCCACGCAGACAGCAGTTAGACAGCCTGGCATGGGCTGGAGGCAGGCACAGGGCAAGCACAGGACAAGGGGACAGGGCCGCAAGGTCCGGTGATGGCTGCGTCTGAACAGCAATTACTCTATCTCCAGGGCGGGAGAGAGTGCAAACGCTCATGCAAAACTAGGAACAAAACACACAGAAGCGCGCGCGCATGCGCACTCTCACACACACACACACACACACACACACAGGCATGTACACATATGCACCCAGGCATGTACACACACACACACACACACACACACACACAGCAATGACCCAATCGAACACACAGAAACCAGGGATCAATCGATCGGGGCAGCACTGGTTGCCTGCTTGTCTCTAGAGGACGGAGTGACAGCTCAGGGCTCAGGGGGCTGTGAAGGCGGGCAGTCAGGGTAGGAGTGTGCAGAGCCCGTGAGGCTGGGCAGGAGCTCTGCCAAGAGCAGGAGGTTGGCTGGGTCCTCCGCTCAGTGGGAGGTGGGCAGAGCCCGGGCTTGCTGGTGGGGGGGAGGGACCTCAGGAGCGGGAGCAGCGGGGAGCAGCGGCGGGGGGGTGGGGGGCCTTCCTGGCCAGCAGGGAGCATGGCCAGGAGCAGGGTCTGGGCAAGGGCTCTAAGGGGAGGGCGGGAAAGAGGGCCAGGGAAGTTAGAAAGAGTTCCCAGCTGGGGCTGCATGCAGCAGACACTACGAGATAAAAGGAAGGAAGGAGGAGTCGGTGGACAAAGGCGAGATGCGTTAGCCGAGCCGCGTAGGAGTCTGGCCGGCAGCGGTTTGCGCTGGCCCAGCAGCCGGCAGAGGCGGCTCCCCCGCAGAGGCTAACGCCGAGGGAGACCCCAGAAGACGAGACAGGGGAGGGTGGGTGTGTGTGGGGGGCGGCAGAGACAGGGCGAGAGGAGGGTCTAGATGGGATCAGGCTGCAATGGAGACACTGGTCTGAGGCTGGATTTTGCTTTGAATTTGGTTTGGTTTGGCTTTTGGCTCTGAAAGTAATTAATGAACGTCAGTTGTCAGACAAGACAGGCAATCAGGGACCATCACCAGAAAAGCAGGAGGAATGAGATAAAATGGAACTCAAAACAGCTGTTGGAGAGGAGGGACCACACGGAGGAAGGGAGAACCGCATGGTAGCAGCACCTGGGACACAGCCAGGGACTAGGATGGGACCCTGACCCCCCTCCCCTGCCTCTGCCTCCCGCCCGGCCTCACTCTCAGGGACCAGGGACCAGAGTCACAGGGGACCTCTGGCGGCATGGCTTTGCCTGCTTGCCACCCCCTATTTTTGTTACTTAAAAGTCCCTTAAGAAATAGCTACCCAGTCAGATCATACGAAATGGTTTTTTTGTTTTTTTAAAAAAAGACCAACAAAAACAACAAAAACCACGGTAACGGACTTGGGGCTTCTAAAGCTCGCCAGCACTGAAGAGAAAGAGAGAGAATGAAGGCGGATGGACATCAACCTTGACATTCTTTTTCTCAGTTAAAGTTTCTCCTATTGTGGAGCGGGCAGGAACCTGCTGGAGATTGGGGCAGGGGCACTCCCAACACTCAAGCTTCCCGGGAGCTGAGGGCCGGGAGGAAGGAGGAGACCCAGGCTCCCGTGGAGACCCGGGGTAGCCGGGAGGTGCCGGGAGGGAGGGGCGTCGCCGAGAAGGGCCTCCGAGGTGGGCGAGGGAGTCCGGCCACAGCTCCCAGGGGCAGGGGGAGGGCGAGAGACCCCGGGCATGTGGCCCAGGGGAGCTTGGGATGAGGACTTAGCAGCTCTGATGGGCTGTGAGGAGGCTGCTGAGCCTGCATGTCTCCCAGGAGGGGCGGGCGGGAGCCCTGTGCTCAGCCTGGAGCTGCCACCCCGGGCACACACCTTCCCCTCCCAGGGCCGCTCCCCAGGAGGACCTGCAGAGAGCCCAGGTGATCCCCGGCTGAGGCCTCCGCAGGCGGCACCCCTCACTGCGTGGGGCACACTTTCCCTGGCTTCCCTTAAGCTTCCTTCCTTGGGAATGGGACAAGGGGGTGCTGGCTGACCTCAGGGCCGCACGGCGCCTTCCAGGGGGCAGGGGGTGCTGGGTGCCAGTGCAGCAAAGGCGCCTACTTACCGATGCACGTCCGACCGTCCGAGTGGAGGGCGTACTTCTGGTGGCAGCCGCACAGGGGGCCTGTGTCTGTGTCCTCACAGCTGTGCTGGCAGCCTCCGTTCCCATAGTTACAGGTCACTAGTTAGGCCCAGAGTGCGGAGGCGTGTGTGTAAACAGAACGACAAGAACGGTTAGAGTCTCTGTGTCGGTGGTTTCTGTGAAGGGGTGAAGGCTGGGGAGCGGAGGGCATGAGACACTCAGCGTATAGGACCACCTCCCCTGCCCTCAGCCCTCGCGGTCTTGGCTGGAACTGCTGGTTCCCCGGAGGTCCCGGGCGGGACGGGGTGACCCGGGCTCTGAGCAGAGGGGCACACCGCTGATCACTCAGGCAGTGTGAGTAAAGAACGGAGGAGCGGGACAGTTGGATCCTGGGCCGCCAAAGACACTGGAGCCTGACTCCACGGGGCAAATGTCTGTCATCCAGGCCTATTCTGAGGTGGGGGTGCACGTGGGGAGAGGGGACACTCATTCCCATGACCCCCGAGAGCCTCCTTTCCTCGGCTTATGCTCTGGGTGTGTGGGAGGGCGTCCCCCTGGGTGCCTGTTCTCTCCAAGTCCCAGCAGCCATCTCAAATCCCACCCCTCAAAGCCCTAGCCCCCCAAGGCCATGTCCAAATGGACAGAATGCATGCCAGTTAGTGTCACTCAGGTGCACTCGGAAATGACCTTGGACTTGGACATGTGACACAGTCCGCACTGCCCAGGGCCCGGAGGGGCTGGTATTCTCCAGCCAGAATCTTAGAATGTCCCAGCGACCTGGGCAGCTGAAAAGGGGCCGAACAAAAAGGAGCCAGTCTGTAGGAAAGACGACAAAGTCAAGTTTATTGAAAGGAACATGCTGCTGTCCCTTTGAGGGCGGGCAAGGCTGCCTCCCCTGCAGCCAGAACACAGGTGCCTATCGCCTGCCATGCCAGGCCCCGAGGACAGGGCATCTTCTCGGATCCTTAGCCAATCGTCCAGAATTTTACCTAAACTTTTAATTCGCTTGGCAAAACCCTAATGAAGATCAGATATGCCAAAATTAATATTGACCAGCCACGGTCAGAGGGGCCCAACATTCCGATTGGCAGTCTGAACCTGTGGCCTCTGTCAGGGTGACCCATGCGCAGCGCTGGTCCGGGGGGTCATGTGGTGGCGAGGCCCCGGTGAAGGAGCCGAGTTCTGCAGCCCTGATCCAGGCCGGCCTCTTGCCCACGAGCGCCTGTCCCCAGTGATGGCGCCGGGGAGACGCAGAGGTGGGCTCCAGTCTCCCAGAGGGCCCAGCAGGCCAGGCCACTCTTCCGCGGGGAGCTGAGGTCCCCCTGAGGGAGGGAGCCATTTCCGGGTGACCCTTCATGGGCCCGCAGACCTGCCTGGGCTCAGCTGGGGCTTCGGGCACAGTCCGAAGGCCCCTTCTCCACGGGAGCCAGGCGGTGCGGGGTCAGCCTCTCCCATCCCCGAGACAGCTCCTCTCCGGCCCCGGAAGAGTGGCTGGAAGCCCAGGGTTCCAGCCGTGGTGGCTAAGCGTGGGTTTCAGGGGAGGGAGACCCCGTGTAGCCTGGATTTGGGTGAGACACTCATGCTTTTCAGCTGAAAAAGGCTGGCTGCAGCGCGGGCGTCAGCTCTGTGGTTCGCTCTTCCCCAGCTCTGGGTGCAGGACGTGAGCCATGCCTGGACGTGAGGACACGGCCTGTCTGAGGCCACTCAGGGGAGGGCCACACTCAGGGCTCCTCGCTCCTTCCACACAGAGTTGTGACATGGGAGAGCCTGCAGCTCACACGGAAGTAAGTCCCGGAGCCTGGAGCTCTGGGAAGACCGAGGAGAACGGGGAATGCCGCCCTTGGCCCTGGAGGGGTCCTGGGCTCTGGAGGGGTGCAGGGCCCCCGTGGTCCTGCTGGTCCGTGGAGGCTGGGCCAGGCCTCACCTCCTGACCCGATGCCAGAGCTGGAATTTCCTGGACTCCAGTGACCTCAAGGTCATCGCAAACTTGACGCTGACCTGCCATCGTGGCCACATGGGGAGTGCAGGGGGCCGACTGCTGTTTCTGCCACCTGCAAACGCTCCGGGCCAGGAGTCCTAGCCTCACCCAGGCTCCTGCTTTCCCTGACACGGCCCAGGCCAGCCACGGAGCCGCTCCCTGAGGAAGGTGTGCCCTCGCTGCTCTTGTCCGATGGAATTTCAGAGCGAGGCGGCGCCGGCAGCCCAGCCCTCTCCTGCGGCTTGCATGCTCTCCCCGGCGGCTGGCTCAGGGCTTGGCCAGAGCAGCGTCTCTCACTGCAGGAAGGTGCTTTCCTCCGGCCCCGCCTGCCCACAGCTGCGGGCTCCACGTGTGCTGCCCGGGCCGTGGTCGTCCGGAAGCTGGGTGGCCGGCGGAGGCCGGACGGCTGGGCTTACTCAGCTTTGGGTCTGGGGCTGTGAGGCGGCAGCAGGTTTCTCTGCGGCTAAAGGCATGTCCCTGCTGCAGAGACCGGAGGCCTGGCCAGGCCTGGGCTGGAGCGGGCACGCCCCCGAGTGCCTACCCTTGGGGACAGCAGTGTCCATCTCGGACCCACGGGAGAGAGCGGGGAAGAGGAGGGCTCGCCCACTTCTCGGGCCGCCCCGTGGCAGAAGGCAGCTCTTCACCCTGAGCAATGACTGAGCCCTGAGTGGGGGCTGGAGGGCGAGCTCGCGGGAGACGGGCTGTGCCCAATGCACGCGGGGCCCCGGACCTGCGTCACCGCCGGAGGAGAGCGTGAGGTGGGAGGGTGTGGCTGGCACCCACGGGAGAGCGGAGGATCTGAGAGAACCACAGTGACAGAGGATGATGCCCACAAGGGCCCGGTCCTCTCCGCAGAATGAAGGTGAGGCCATTTCCTTATGGGCTGTCAACCTCAGGCCCCCACTTCCCTCTGCGGAGTAGGATCTGGGCTCCTCCATATCACGTCCTGCATCAGAGAGGGGTCTGGTGTGGAGCACCTGCCTGCGCCAGAACTGGGCATGCTCCACCAGCTGCCCCTCTCTGCAGGCCCAGGGCGAACGCAGTGGTCTGGGGGCAGAGGCCTCCTCCCCCGCCCCTGCAGCTGAGGGCCAGGCTTTGAGGACTAGCTGAGTGTGGCAGACCACTCTCGGGGAGCTGGGGGACCCCATGAAAGGCTGCATTTCACTTGAGCACCGCAGGCTGACCTCCGAGCTGTCCTGAAACGGCCCCCTGGCCAGAGGCCTCACTCATCTGGGTCTCCAGGGTGGCACCATGTACCTGGGCCTTGCAGGGGGCACTGTGGGTTCTGACCTTAGATCCTGGAATAAGGTTCTGGGATCTCCAGAACCAAGCTCCTCTCCTGCTCTGACATCCTGCCACTGAGGCTGCCCACCAGAACCCGGGCTTGTACACCCCTGTGTCTTGTCCTCCATTCCCGCCGAAGAGTGAAGGCTCAGGGCAGTGGGCCTCTGGGGTCCAAGGGAGAGGATGAGGGTGTAGGAGACACTGGCAGGGCCACCATGCAGGGCCCTAGGTAAGACCCAGCCTAGCTCGGGCTGTGGGGGTGGTGAGATGCCAGGTGGGAACACATGGCCCCGTCCCTCGTGCCCCCCAGACCACTTCAGGGGCCCTGCCTCCTCCTCCCCCGGGTCTGAGAGCCCTCCCGGGGACCGGACTGACCCCCTACAAAGCAACAACAGGAGACGTGTAGGGATGTTGGACCCATTTCCCTCCATCTACCTACGTGTGCAGTCCTTCTGGTTTGGGGCAAGGTCAAAGCCGGGCCTGCAGTCGCAGGCCACCCCACCTTTGGGTGTCTCCCGGCAGATGTGGGCACAGCCATGGTCTTTGTTCATGCAGTTCATACCCTCTGGGAAGAGACAGACGAGAGAGGGTTGGGGAACAGAGGAGAGAGAGAAAATGTCAGGCTGAGAAGAGACGGCCCATGAAACATCATGATCACATGGAGTGTCCTGAGCTGCAGAGAGAGGGCCTCTGGGGACAAACCAAGGACCCATGGGCAGGCACCAGGCACCACAGGGCCCTGAGCGGCGCCTGCTCCTGGGAGCCAGGGGCAGGGGTTCCGTCAGGAAGGCTCCCCGCCTCCAAAAGGCTTTCAGGACGGGCTCCCTGGGCCGCTCAGACACCCGGTACCTCGTGGGGCTCCGAGACTGGGCCCTATGAGGTCTGGTCAGTGGGTGGTGGTGGGGGCAGCATCCCTGACCATCATCAGTGGGTCAGGGGGAGCCACACATGTACAGGAAGCTGGTGTGTTAGCTTCTCCCCAGAGTGACGCCCGCCACTTCCTACATGTACTCCCCGGCCTGTAACCATCCCCCAAGTGCCCTACCACTCCCCGCCTTCTCCGGACACAAGCCCTGTCCTGCCGCCACCCCCGAGCTCCGCAGACCTTCCCACTGGGCGGTGCTCCTGCCCCCCCCCCCCCAAGTTAACCCTCAGGGCACCCCAGGGCGGCACAGGAGACTGATGCCACCGAGCAGGGCTGTGCTCCTCCCTGAGCCGGGACTTCCAGTCCCAGGGAGGGCCACAGCTTACAAGCCCCCCCATAATCCCCCATCTTCACAACATAAACCTGGCCCTGGGGAGCGCACTGGCCCAGGCGTGGGACACTATTGAGGGTTCAGCTTTAGAATCGCTCAGCTTTCGCCCACTTGGGGGACTCGCCATGGACCTGAGCGCTTCCGGAGGCACCTGCTTCCGGAGGAGATGTCATGTGAGCCGGCCTGGGCCAGAGTCCTCCCCAGCAATCCGGCCTTCCGGGGCCCCGGGCCAGCCTGGCCGGGCTGCCTGCCAGGTCAAACCTAATTGGATCCAGCCCATCCAAACCCAATTATGTCCTGCAAACTCGGGCCAAGTGTCTCGCTGGTGCCCAGGATGGGCGGGGAGCCAGGAGACAGATGCTTAGCCGTGACCCCGCCAGCTTCTGATTCAGACTCTGCCAGCTGCTGCGGGACCCAGGCCATCACGTCACCCCTCTGAGCGCTAACTTCCACCTGTAAACGCGGCGTCACAGGACCTGCCTCAGGCGCTCACGCAGGTGCACTCCTTGCTCTGGCCAGGGAGGCGGCTCAGGGCGAGGCGAGGACTGGAGGGACTCCTCCTTGGCAGGGTGGGGAGGGGGCAGGAAAATGGCAAATCAGGCCAGATTGCTGGACGCTGCGGGGAAGCAGGCATAACTGCAGGCCAGAAGCAGGCGGAGGCTGGGGTGTCACGGTGAGAGAGAGGAAGGAGCCTGAGGGGATGGGGACCGAGGCGGCTGGATTTAGGACACGTATCCGAGGCCCTTTCTGTGAGGGTCCAGATGTGACACGGGGACGTGGGCTCTGCCTATACATCATGAGCCTGTGGGGTGGGCACTGCCAGGCCATGCCACAAACAAGCACAGGGAGGTTGGCTGAGGGGGAGAGATGTGCCCGGGCCACATGTGTGAGAGGCAGAGCCACGGCCTTGGCAGTGCCGTCCTCTCCCGAGTGCCCAGTGCTTCTGCCTGGGGCCCTTCCCCATCTCTACCCCGTCTTTTCCAGGTCTGTCCCAGAGGCCTCCTAGCATGACACTCCCCCGGAAGGCGCACAGAGTTCAATGGTGGCAGGATCTGCCTGCCCCTGACAGTGCGAACGTGGCGTTCCGCAAAGCAAAGTTCCCAGCTGCGTCTGAGCCCGAGGAGCCAGTCTCTCTCGCTGCCCCAGGGTGACAAAGCCGGAGTGCCTGCCTCCCAAGGGTCGTTGCTATGGCGACTTCATCAGTAACATCACTTTCTGTATCTGAGTCCTTTACACCCGGGAAGGGAAGGCAAGGGGAACAGAGAGCAGGGAGGAAAGAACAATTACTTGCTCTGCCCCTGCCTCCCCAGCTCCCACCCATAAACAGAGACTTCCGAAGCCCAGAGAGAGGCTGTGGCCGTGGGGGTGGCGGGAGTGGCCGTGGGGATGGCGGGAATGGCAGTGGGGGTGGCGGGAATGGCCGCGGGGATGGCGGGAATGGCCGTGGGGATGGCGGGAATGGCAGTGGGGGTGGCAGGAGTGGCCTTGGGGGTGGCGGGAATGGCAGTGGGGGTGGCGGGAATGGCCAAGGGGATGGCGGGAATGGCAGTGGGGGTGGCGGGAATGGCCAAGGGGATGGCGGGAATGGCAGTGGGGGTGGCGGGAATGGCCGTGGGGGTGGCGGGAATGGCAGTGGGGGTGGCGGGAATGGCCGTGGGGGTGGCGGGAGTGGCCGTGGGGGTGGCGGGAATGGCCGTGGGGATGGCGGGAGTGGCTGTGGGGATGACGGGAATGGCAGTGGGGGTGGCGGGAATGGCCGTGGGGATGGCGGGAATGGCAGTGGGGGTGGCGGGAATGGCAGTGGGGATGGCGGGAATGGCAGTGGGGGTGGCGGGAATGGCAGTGGGGGTGGCGGGAATGGCCGTGGGGGTGGCGGGAATGGCCAAGGGGATGGCGGGAATGGCAGTGGGGATGGCGGGAATGGCAGTGGGGGTGGCGGGAATGGCCAAGGGGATGGCGGGAATGGCAGTGGGGGTGGCGGGAATGGCCGTGGGGGTGGCGGGAATGGCAGTGGGGGTGGCGGGAATGGCCGTGGGGGTGGCGGGAATGGCAGTGGGGGTGGCGGGAGTGGCCGTGGGGGTGGCGGGAATGGCCGTGGGGTGGCGGGAGTGGCCATGGGGGTGGCGGGAATGGCAGTGGGGGTGGCGGGAATGGCCGTGGGGTGGCGGGAATGGCAGTGGGGGTGGTGGGAATGGCCAAGGGGATGGCGGGAATGGCCGTGGGGATGGCGGGAATGGCAGTGGGGGTGGTGGGAATGGCCAAGGGGATGGCGGGAATGGCCGTGGGGATGGCGGGAATGGCAGTGGGGGTGGCGGGAATGGCCGTGGGGGTGGCGGGAGTGGCCGTGGGGGTGGCGGGAATGGCTGTGGGGATGGCGGGAATGGCAGTGGGGGTGGCGGGAATGGCCGTGGGGATGGCGGGAATGGCAGTGGGGGTGGCGGGAATGGCCGTGGGGGTGGCGGGAATGGCAGTGGGGGTGGCGGGAATGGCCGTGGGGATGGCGGGAATGGCAGTGGGGGTGGCGGGAATGGCCGTGGGGGTGGCGGGAATGGCCGTGGGGGTGGCGGGAATGGCCGTGGGGATGGCGGGAATGGCCGTGGGGGTGGCGGGAATGGCCGTGGGGATGGCGGGAATGGCCGTGGGGATGGCGGGAATGGCAGTGGGGGTGGCGGGAGTGGCCGTGGGGGTGGCGGGAATGGCCGTGGGGATGGCGGGAGTGGCCATGGGGATGGCGGGAGTGGCCAGTCAACAGGCTGCCCAGGCTACAGGGAAGACAAACACTCCCGCGCTGTGGAGGAGAGAAGAGGGCCCGGAGGTCCTGCCTCGGGAAAGGCGCAGGGACGGCACGGGGGCGGACCGGGTGGGGGGGGGAGGAGGTGGCGGACCGGGGGGGGGGGGGGGCGGACCAGGGGCGGACCGGGGTGGGGGGCGGACCGGGGGGAGGTGACGGTGACACCACCTTCGCCCAGAGCCGTCCGCGTGCACGCTGTGCCGCGCGCTTTAATGAAAAACGCCGAGCCAGAGAGAGGTCAGAACTGAGGTGCCTCGGAGTGAGGTGAGGGGCAGTGAGGGGCAGATCTGGGGGCACTGAGGAAGGCGGATGGGGTGGCTGTGGGCTGCAGGCTGAGCACTGTGCACCTCCTTCAGCCCCAGGAGCCCCTGCCCCGCTCTGCGGGTGTGGAGAGCAGAGTCGGGTGAGGAAAGGATGGCATCTTCCACAGGGACTCAGAGTGGGGCAGCGGTGGGACCTGTGCTCCCAAGGAGGCGACGGGACAATGTGCCGGGGGAGGGGCAGGGAAGCCCCGCTGCCCTTCTCTGCGTGACTTCCCGCGGTGATGGGAGCCCTGGCCTTCCCGGCTCCGTCCACACTTCCACATTCAGCTCCCCAAGCCCTCCAACACCAGCTTCTCTGGAGCACCTCGTTCCTTGCCTGGCCCACTCTGAGTCAGAGGGTGCCCTGTTTGTGCCCCCAGAACCCCCACCCACACTTGTGGAGGCTGGAGCATGCCAGTTCCTTCCCGAGCGCCCAGCCCAGCCCAGGCCTGGCCCAGAGAACAGACCTCCCAGACCTGCACAGAGCAGCCAGAGCGCCTCAGCGATGGGCCCCGTCCTGAGCGGGATGGGGTAGAGCCAAATCAGACCCTGTGCCCAAATTATCCTCCGGGAAATTCCAGGCCTGGCTGGGGTGCCAGCAGCTGGCTGCCCCAGACAACACCCCCAGCCGACCATGAGCCCTGCCCCCCCAGCTGTATCCCCAGTGGCAGCCCCACCTGGGAAATGGGGCTTCCTCTTACCCAGAGCTCTTCAGCACCAGGACCTGTGCCAGGCTCGTTGCAAACATCTCCATGACTGAGTGCCGGGTGGCATCAGCCGGTCCCTGGCAGGTGATGATGCTGAGGCTCAGAGAGGTCTCCCCAAACCCCCAGCCACTTCAACAGCAGGCCCAAAGGGGGCCCCGCCCCTTGGCCAAATGCTCACTCGGCTGCCTCGTGGCCCTCAAGGGGCCTCTGCTCCTCCTTCTCCAAGTCCGGAAGCGCACCCCTGGGCGGACGGGCCTGGTGCCCGTGACAGCGGACGCAGGGAGAGCTGAGGGTGGCTGGCTCCTGGTGTCCCAGGTGATAGCAGAGAGGGTGCCTGGCCTGCCTTCTTGGGAAACAGGATGGACACATGGTTCCCACCTGGTGCCTCGCCTAACCCTGCCTCCGGGAGCCCGACGACAGAGGACCGCACCCAGTCTGCAGGCGAGCGTGGGGATAGCGTGCGAGGTGCCACCAGCGTGGCCTCACGTCCCCCTCCGGCGTGTAACGTG